ACCCTGTGCTCCTCACTCCCACCTCTCAGGGGCTACATCTCCAGTATGAGGGGACTATGCTCTTGGCTTCCTCAGGTGGCTGCCCACTTCCCTGGAGGGCTGCCTGGGCCAAAGCCACCCACCTCTGTACAAGGGATTCACTGAAACTCCAGCTCAGTTTTTCTACTCAGTTAACACCAAGTAGAACAGATATGATTATTGAAATGATTAAGCTTGCACACCAACTTGTATTAACACAACAGGTGTGATGGGGAGCAGTATTTGAAGGCACTTTCGCTATAAATCACAGGTTCATTCATTCATTCCTCCATTGTCCACTGCTTGTCTGTTGATGGTCCTTTCTGGCCACAACTTGTGTAAGTGCTGGGGATGCAGGGCCCAGATTCACAGACCCTCCCTCCATGGAAACAGAGGGAAGAAGAGTCTGACACTGAAACAGAGATCCTGAGAACAAGGGGTATCTCCAAAAGGAGTCACATCCACATGATGAATCGGGACCTGAACAACCTGGGGAGGAACCCAGGTTGTGCTCTACTGAAGGGGTCTTGGGGCCACCAGAAGATGGTGGGTGACCAGGATCCTGAGAAGGTTGTCAGAGCCACCTTTAGGAAGAGCTATGGATGTCCTTGGGAGCTGCCTGGCTGGTGTTGGGGGAGGAGGAGACAGCCCAAAGTGGTTCCATGAGATGGGACAGGAGTCAGAGGAGGCACCAAGGACAGGAGTACAAGGGAGAGGATAAGTTCTTTTCTAGCAAGACAAGACACCAGGGAGACACCGCAGGGAATGGACTCATTTCAGCCAGAGGAGTCTGCTTGTGACACTTGCCCTTCCCTCCGCTTGGAGGAGCTGTGGCCCAGACAAGAGTCCTCCAAGGGGCAGGCTTGTCTGGCTGTTGGCCACTCTGGTGTCCTTCCCCTTCCCTGGATATTGAGCAGCAGTGGACTGTCCGATGGTCAGCAGTAAGATGTCATCCTGCACCTGAGGCCCCACGGGGCATAGCTGTCCACTCCAGAGAATGGCCTTAGAGTAAGAAAACCCAGTGGCTCTACTTAATCCTTTAGGTGGTATTCTGCACCTTCAGGGGAAGCCCAGACACTTGAGAGATGACTTCTCTCACTTCTCCAGCCCTCTGACTTCACAGCTGATGCTCAGACAGGAACTTTGTTCCCTAAATGTTCCTTACCACTCTGTCTGCCTGAGCTTCTTTTATTTCACTTAGCTCCTGGCCGACTCCTGGTCATCTTTTAGGTCATAGTAGGATGTCACCTCCTCTGGGAAATCTTCCAGGGCCCTCCCTCCCTTGTTCACTGGTATATTTAATGGGGGACTGATCCGTTGTGAAATCACAGCTGAATGAAAGGACCCTGATCTAAACTGAGGAGCCACATCTATGTCATCCCTACTGGGCTCCATTTGGTGTGGAGCAGGGCCATCCGGGAGTGTCAGTGCATCCTGGTGCCCACGCAGGCTTGTGCCACCATCTGCCAAAGACAGTGAGATATCTGCAAGGGGCCTGGGGACAGGAGCCCCTGACTGTGTGGCTTCGCTACTCAAATTTCCTCTCCCTGGTTGCAGGTACTACTTCCTGGTGTACAATGCCTCAGTACTCTACTGGCACATGGTGAGGCCATTTCTCAAGCCTGGCTATCACCACCTTGTGATCCCCAGCCTCTCCCAAATCGTCAGTGTGTTAAATCAGACTGAGGAAGAAGACAAGGAATGGCGGGCTGAGCTGATGTTGTGAGTGTGGTGCCCGGCCCTTGGGGCGCTGGGCCAGAGTCCCTAACATGTCCTCTCCCCTCTGGGTTATGATTTTGTGTTGCCAGGACGTACATCCTTGCTTTCTCTTTCATAGTTGGGGTTGGGTTTGTGTCTTGTTAGGTGGTTGTTTCTAGAATCTATGGATCCTTCTTACTGTGGACTTTTCAACTGATGACAGAGAAATATATTGAGATGCAAAGCAGAGGAAATGTGATCCCCTAGCTACTCCTGGCTTATGGTTTTGAAATCTTACTGCAGTAAACTCTTGATGAGGTGGCCTTTTAGCAAATAGTTACACCAGGATAAGCACCACATCCAGGTGTCCAGGTGGCCATGTGGTATTCTATGGGTCAGTACAGGGTGGGTCTGTCACCGAATTCTTGGTCATTGTACCTCCTGAATTAAAAGGGGACCTGCCAGAGTTTCAGTGTCTGGGGCTACTCTGTGAGGCCAGTGACTGGGTGGATGCTGACAATGAGGATACCAGTTGTGCCACTGCCAGACACTTGTACCCAAGTCCAAATCCAGAGTCTGCAGGTTTGTTTATCTGCTTGTGGGTATCTGCGAAGCCTGTAAAAGAAAGTAAATGTAGATATGATCTTCCTTTAAGATGTCATTGTCAAAATGTATAGGTAATTAAAATGCCAAGAATTCCCTTTCTGTTGTCTGCGGTAGGTTGTTTTCTTGGCTCCTGCAGGCCCTTCCTCGTGACCCATGGGCCCTGGGTATGGCTGAAGGAGCTTTCCAGGGACTCTTTTTAAAGTTTGTGAAACATAAAAGTTACAAAAGTATACTAACCTGGCATTTGCAACAGAAAACAATTTCAAATGGGTTTAATATTTACCATTTTTATATTATACAGAGAACTTCTTGAGTGTTTTCTGCAAGCTGGAAAAAAAGAGGAAGCTGCCAAGTTTTGCTTCACTGCAGCACCGTTTATAAAAGCTCATGTGCCCCAAAAGTATCGGCAGATATTCTCAGTTATGGTAAACTGACATAATTAATAATACATATAGGAAGGAATTTTCTTAAAAGTCGTTGTTCAGAAAAATATCCATGAGACCACAAACAAGCCCATTAAATGAGAGAGATAAAATCATATACACAAAAGCAAAATGAAAAGAAACAAAATGATAAAAAGAACTAGTGATTCATTCTATGTGAAAATATACATAGAATTACTTTTTTGAAAACAAATGATCTTTGCCTTCATTGTTACTGTTTAAATATTTCTTTTAAACAATAACAATGATTAACAATAACAATGATTTAAACAATAACAATGACTTCCTCTATGGGGATGGCCTGTACACTGAATTTTTAAAGAAATTAACAGAAAAGTTATAAAGATACAAGTAATTACTATGCACTGTGTCCAAAAAGTGTTCATCAGCTATTAATTTTTATGTATAAATATCAGTATAAATTATATCTGAAAACGGAATATAAATATTAATGAGAAGATACATTTTAATTAAAAATATTAATTTTACAGGAGGAATTAAATGATATTATCTAGACACAAAATCTGAATTATCTATTTGAATCCAAATTAATATTCTGTTCCATTTTATGATAGGTTCGTCATGAATTAGTAAATGAGCTTCAGTTAAAGGAAGAAAAGAAAAATTCCATTAGCCTGTCAGTCTCTTTCCACATTAATGCACTAAAAGCGTGAGTAGTTTTGAGAGAAAGCAAAAGTTGAGCGTTTTGAGGAGTGAGCTCAGGAAACCTGTCTGCTCCATGGGGACAACCTGTGTCAGTGGGCAGCGTCTGGAAACTGACCAAAGTGACCCAGAGGAGTTAGGAACCCAGGGTCACCAAGGGATGGGTGGTCTGAAAGCCACTCCCACCCTGGTCCGGCCTTCCCCCATTACTGAGGAGAGGCCTGTGAGGTCACCAGCAGGAAGAGGACAGCTTCTACAAGTGAAGAAAGTCCCCAACTGAGTCAAGTGTTCCTCACAAGTCATGCCCAATGAGGCTGAGACTGACCGTGTGGATTGAACAAGACAAGAGCAGTGTTTTGGCAGAATTTGATGAGGGTGAGCTGAGTGAAAGAGGGAGAGGGAGTATATCCAGAGAGGAGTCTTCTAAGAAGTTTACCCTAAGGGGCTGCTGGGGGATGCTATAATGGAGATCAGAGTGTGTTTGTGCGCACTGGGTAAGGTTTTGTGAGGAGGCCATGATGTATTTGGATGCTGAGGGAATTGAGGGGTCCCAGTGGGTTTGCTGAGGTGTGTGAGAGGATCTTGGTGGCTTTGTGAGCTCAAGGGAGCACTTCTGAGAGGAGAGCTGGCCCCAGGCCCTGGAACAGAGAGAGAAAGGCCAACAGTTCCCAGACAGGGCCCCGATAGAGTGCTAACCTTGGCAGCCAAGCCTGTGCTCGTTTCCTGGAGTGTACCCTTCAGTGATTAGGAAGAAGGATCATCACCTGGGAGTGAGGAGGGATGAGGAGGTACAAAAACTGCCTGGGGCATCAGAGGATGGTTAGGAGGAGAGATGTTTCAGGGTCTTGCTCAGTGTAATACACAGATTCGTAGACTTTCACAGAGTTTCTCTTAGAAGAATTTTAATAAATCTGAAAGGATTTTTTTGGTCATTTGGTATTTTAATTAATTCTAGAAAATTGGATAGAAATGATTTACCAGAAGACGTCAACCAAATTCTGGAGAATACCTATAAACATTTAGGTTGTTATAATCACCAGAGCTTTCCTTCAATCAGAGAAGAAAAGTAAGTGTGTGTTTCCAGTTTTCCATCTGCACAACCCATATACAAAATTCAGAAAGTATCAAAAAAATGTGAAAAGATGCAAAAACAAGCAACTAGAACAACCCTAGCAAAAGCCAGCCAGGGTGGAATATTTAGTATATTTCCTTCTGGTCTTTTTTTGCCTTGATGTTTATAATAATTGGGACACTTGGGATATATAACTTCATATCCTACTTTGCATAATCAAATTTAACCTCTAAATGTAAGTATTTTCAAGTTTCAAGGGAATTCATGTCTGCCATCAAATTCTTCCAAGTTATTCTGAGTGAAATTAGGCCATTCTGGGCCAAAGCTCCAGCATCCTCTTTTGCTGCTGGATGCTTCTGGGCAGGGGTCTCAAGATGGTGTGAATAGCCCCTTTCTGGGAGTCTACTCATTATTTCTTTAGGAGAAATTTCTAGAAGTGGGATTTGGGGATGCATACTGCAGAAGCCATACAACACACACACATAAGGAAGCTTGCTTCTGCCCCCTTGTGGTCTCTCTAAGCCTGACAGGTGAAAAGTCACTGCTTTATTTTCCATTTCCCTGACTGCTGATGAAGCTGAACATTTTCTCACATATTTAAGGCATTTTTTTCTTTTGTTAATTTTCTGTTCATTGCTTTTACCTGAGTTTTTCAAAGTAGGGTTATGAACCAGATACAATTCAATCAAAACAGCTTTCTGTGTGTTAAGAGTTAAGTCCTTCACCTCCACTAAATTTACAAAGTGTCCCAGTTTGCCATTTAGTTTCTAATATTTTTCCATGTACAGAAATACAAAAATATTTAATACAAAGATTATTTGGGCTAACGTTTATTCCCACCAATCCTGGGCCAGATGCTGTTCTAGGCCAGTCTCACGCATTAACTTGGCTCTTCCCACGAGAGACACACAGGCAGCCCTCACTTCTGTCAGCCTTTTGCTTGGTGGATTTTCCTCCACTCATGAGTCTTGTGAGGTCCTCCCCACCTTCTCACTGTCTGTGGCTCTGCTATTTACTGTATGAACTTCTGTGCATTATGTCCACAAGGATAGCCAGATCAGCTCAGATTTGCATTTTACTATGTGATTTGCATTCCACTGCTGTTCTTGGAGAGAAGCAGTGTTTTCTACTTGCTAGGAGACCGTCCTGATCATAGCAGAGCTGCCTCTTGGTGATATCAGGCCCTTCCTATATCCTGGCAAGCCTCAGAGCCTTCCAAACACCATGTGGGTCCTGCTGACACTTCTCCACCTGGGATCCTGTATCTAGGATTCAGAGTGGGGGAAATTTTTTTATGTTTAAAACCATGATTATCTGAAAACCAGGGATTCACTCATTTACAAATTCACTCTTCTTGACCTGCTCAGCAACCCATGCAGCTTAGAGCATAGGTAGAATAAAGAGATCAGAGGGCAGAGGGCCAGGCTTTTGGAGGCTCAGAGCCTGAGGATGTTTGGGATGAGTGTTCAGCAGAAGGACCCCTGTCCCCCAACCCCTCCTTCACAAAGTGGCCTCCTTCCCAGAGCAGCACAAGACTGAAAACAAGGAAGATGGCAAAGCCACATGCCATACTTGTGTTTCTTTACAGGCCAGCTATTGTCTTTCTGTGTAAGACAGGGACATGACCTAGGAAAGGCAGAAAAGATGTGGCTTGTCCTCCAGGGGACATTTGGCTGCATCTGGGGACCCTTTGGAGGTCACTGCTGGAAGTGTTGCTGATATCCAGTGGGCACCAAGCTGAGATGTGACTGACTCTCTGCAGTATACAGAAGACAGGTTTCCACTGGACAGAGTGATCTGACTCAAAGGCCAAGTACAAAGGCCAGGAAACCCTGGCCTATCTGTACGCAGAACCACTTTCTTCATTCCTAAAGCCTAATAAGAAGTCTTGAAATGAGGTAATTTCATCCACCAGCATCATTCCTTTTTAAAGTCATTTCAGCCATCATAGATCTCTGAACTCTGTTGACATCACAAAGACCCCGACTGGTGATTGCCAATGCCGTCCCATGTGGCTGTCACACAAGAGAAGAGCCTAGACCCTGCCTCAGGAAAAGCAGGTCTCTTCCTGTGTGGTCTCTTCCCTCACTGAGCCTGGAAATGTGGCTAATGACAGTATCTTACAATGTGGCTGTGCAAGGTGTCATCTGTGACAACACACCGCTGCCTGTCCTCCCCTAGGCATGACCTGAAGACCTAGGTGGGGGACAGTGCATGCAACAGAGACCAGCACCATGGAGGGCAGCCTGGGCCCTGTGGTAGTGAGCTTGGCAGGAGCCCTCACAGCAGCATTTGTAGTCTTTAATCTAATTTTATTTTATTATTGTATTTCTTAATTTAGCAGAATGTGGCTGTTTCCTCTGCCATTCAGGTGAATGTTGAACCAGTGCCCCTTTTGTTTCTTTTCAGAATACTGTTGCTTTTTGAATTAGCTCATCTTTCTCTGAACTTGAAATGCGAGGACATAGCCTCTGACTGCCTGTCCGACCTGAAGAAAATTGAGACAGAAGTAAGTATCTTAATGACAATTGTTTACAGAGGCAAGGAAGCAGCTCACAAAGGTATGGCCTGAGGGGCTGCTGCCTGTGTCCCCATCTTCTTCATGTGCATCTTGTGAAACTGTGCTGATATGATTTTTACTGTTGTGTGTGTGTCCTTTTCTCTTCACCCATATCACTGCCTCAGGTCCCTTGTGACACGAGTGGTTCGTCCACTACACACTGAAGTACAAAGCCCCACTGAACATTTAAACCATACATTTTTTGCTTATTTCATAAGGGCTTCAATGAAAATTTTGCACTTAAAGCTTTTTATTTACATTTTTTGATTTTCCCCTAAAATAGTTTCAAAGACATGGAATACTAGAGAATTCATATGGTTGAGATTTTTTTAAATACATACATGTGACAATATTGCCCTCCAGGGGCAGTTTAATGGCATGCATTCAAAGTACTGAGCCTATGTGCCTCAGGATGGTTGGCTTTGTAGCTTAGGTGGGGGAGGCTGTGGAAGGCCCTTCCATGGAGCAGAGGGTTACTAAGCCACCTGTGTGTTGCTCCTTACAAAGATAAAAGTTAGATATTGAAACCATGCCCTGGAGCATTACTTCCTGAGCATTACTTCCTGAGCCTCACGGTAGGTCTTCATTGACTACCTACTGTGTGTTTACTCCAGGTCACCTTTGATTATCGACACCAATTGACCCAAATAATGCTGTAAGATGTGGCACTGACAAGAAGAGCAGTTTATATAGCAAAAGGGAAATCAGTCATATTCACAGTTGTGGTGACCTGGAAATCTTTTTTAAAAGAAACTTTATTTAGACCTCAATGATCATGTAGACCTCAGATGGGACTGGCCAATAGGGGAGGGCAGTATGTAGAAAATGCAGTTGAGGCTGGGATGTGGCCAGACAGCACTGAGCAGGCAAACAGCATGGTAGGTACTTAATACTGAGTTCTCTTGTTGCCTTGTGCTTCCCTTCTGGGTTTCCATGACACAGGAGCCCAAGTGTTGCACTATTATCCTAACAACCTGGGTCCTAGCCCACTTTCAGCCCTCACAAACCCAGGAGCCTTCCTTTTCCACACAAGCCTTGAGTGTTGTATCTGTAAAATGGCAATAGTATTAAGACCTGTCTCCTGGGACTGGAGCCTGCTTTCTGCCTGAAGAGGTGAGATGCATGGGTAAGGCGTTGCTGCTGACAGGGTACTACTGCAAGGGAGCCTCATGTGGAAGCAGTGTGGCTTTCACCACCCTGTGCCTCTGCCCAGTGGGTCCTGCTGTCCCAATTCCCGGCCTCTGTCCTTGGCTCTTTGCCCCATGGCCCCTGCCCATTCACAGGCCTTCTCCCTGACCACCTCCCAAACCAGCCTCTTTGGATCTCCATGCAGTGCTCGGCTCTATGACTTGGGGAGTCCAAGAGCCAGGCCACTCCTACAGGTCAGTGTGGAAAAACACCCCAGCGGGGAGCCACTGTATCAGGGAAGAAGCAGCAATTGGATTCCCAATACTGAGCCTTCACTTCTGACATTTTAATACCCCCTAGGAGAGTGTAGAGCAAAAATAAACTAAAGCTAAAACAAACACATACTTCTGTTACATCTTGTGAGAGTAGATTTTTATTGAGGGCTCATTAAAAAAAACCTATATCAATAAAAGAATTAGATACAAGTTCAGAAGGAGAAACAAAATCACTTTATTGAAAAGGGAAGAGAAATAGGGAACAAAATCACTTTATCAGAAAAGGGAGAGAAATAAGGAGATAAATAGCTACCTTGTTGGAGTAAGGTAGGGAGTCCTGAGCTGGAAGAAAAAAGCTTCTCACTCTCTCTCTCTCTCTCTCTCTCTAGCAGGGGTTCAACTTTTTATTTGCCAGAAACCTCACTGAGACCCTTTAACTTTCCCTCCCCATCCCCCAACCTTCCCTACACTTCTACATGATTGTCCAGACACGAGTGAGTATTTACCCAAAAAGGGAAGTTGTGTACAAGCGGTGCACAAGTAATGAGGCAATGTGTGGACTCCTGCCTCTGCCCCAGAGGGCATAAAGGATCCACGCTGATCCTCAGGCCTGAAGCAGCTAAAAGCAAACAAAATGTGTGTATCTGTGATTTTTCAAGGCACTGAACTGTAGATAATGAAGGAAAATAAAATTGGAGGGGTAAAAACAGTAGGGCAAGTCCTGTGATGGCTGACTACCTGCATCTTGCAGGCTACAGCAGGTAAGGGACCCCAAGTGGAGGTTGATGGCCTACCTGGTGACCAGAGGATAAGACAACTACAAGTCACAGAGCAGAGGTCCAGGGAGGAGTGAGCAACAAAGATCAGAGCTCTGGGGTCTGCAAGTGGCCTTGAGTCTTCAGGGGAGGGCTGACCACATGTATGTGAGGAAACTACCTAAGACTGGAAAATAATCACCATTTGGTGAAATGAGACAAAGGAACACTCCACAGAAGTTACTCAGTGAAGGGAGTAGTCTCATTCCCATCGGTCACTGCAGAAAACTTCAACATTCTGGAGTCTGAGGTAGAAATGTCTGGCATCCAACAGAAAATTACCAGGTATATATAAAGGTAGAAAAATACAGTCCCACGGGAGGAGAAAAAACAGTCAATCAAAACCAAGAAATGATACAGGTGATAAGATTAGTTGACATTAGCAGACATTAAAACAATTATTGTACTTGTATCCAAGATGTTCAAGAAAATAGAGAAAAATGGAAATTTTATGTTAAACAGAAAGCAAGATGATACATGAAATGCCCAAAATGAACTTTACATATGAAAACTTCATTGTCCCAGATGGAATTAACTGGATAGAATTTAAAGCAGATTAGACATTTTAGCAGAAAGATTAACAAGCCTGAAGACAGAGCAGTGAGAATTCCCCAAAATGAAACAGAAGAAATGCTGAGAAGAATATTTGGAGCTTCAGTGAGTAGGGGCCAACTTCCAGCAGAGTAATAAACGTGCGATGGGATCCCTGAAGGAGAGGCGAGAAAGAGGAACCAGGAAAAATCTTTAAAGACGTAATGGTCAAAAAGGCTAAATGAAAAGGTGAGGAGAAGACGTCTTGTACTGGCAACTGAAGAATGACAGCAGGCTTCTTACTGGGAACAATAACATCAAAAGGCAAAGATCTTTAAGGTTCAAGAATAACAGCCAATCACTCTAAATTCTACACCCAGAGAAATCTTACAAAATCAAAGGGAAAAAGTTTTTTAAATTTATTAACATATAAAGAAGCTGAAAGAGTTTGACCTCCATTTTCAGAGACTGTAAAAGAAATTATTTGGGCAAGAGGAAGATGTATCCATAGAAATTTGGGTCTACATAGTGCAGTGAAGAGCAGCAAAATATCGTTATTTAAACATACAGAATGAGGATGTTCTGTGGGTTTTTTGACACATGGAATAGGGTATGGCAACAATAGCAGAATGGCAGGAGGGACGAGATGGTGTGCAGGTGAAAGGTTTTCATGCTTCCTACATACTGAAGGGGTGCACTTAGCTGTGCATGGAACGATGTCCCTTCATGGTAGACTCTGATAGACAGACAATGTGTACTCCATGCCCTGAAGCAGCCATTAGAGTAACACTTAGAGATGTACCTATTAAACTAAGAAAGAAGGTATAATGGAACCAAAAAAGATAATCAGTTAATTTAAAATAAAACTGAAGATGAGACAAACGATAAATGAAAGATGGGACAAACAGAAAATAAATGATGTGCTGTCAATAGGGCATAGTTGATTGAATCCAATCATATTGTGATCACATTAAATGTAAAGGTCTAATCAGTGTAGGAAAAGATTTTATGAACAAAACCTCAGTGGCCTGTAAACTAGCACAAACAATCAACAAATGGGATCTCTTCTTATTAAAAAGCTTTTGCACAGCAAGAGAAACCACCAGCAGTGTGAAGAGACAACCCACGATGTGGGGAAAAATTCACCTGCTCTTCCTCAGACAAAGGTCTACTATCTCAAATCTATAAAGAACTTAAAAAGATCAGACCTCCCAAATTTAAAGACCCAATCCAAAAATGGGCATCTGAAATGAACAGACATTTCTCACAGAAAGAAGTAGAAATAGCAAATAAATACATGAAAAAATGCTCAACATCACTGGTCATTCGAGAGATGCAAATGAAAACAAGGCTGAGATTTCACTTCACTCCAGAAAGAATGGCTGCTATCATGAAATCAACTAATAACCAATGCTGGCGGGGCTGTGGGGAAAGAGGAACCCTGCTCCACTGCTGGTGGGAGTGTAGACTGGTGCAAGCACTGTGGAAATCAGTATGGAGATACCTCAAAGAACTAGGACTGGAAGTCCCATTTGACCCCGCTATTCCACTGCTGGGATCTTCCCCAAAGAATTAAAAGAATCACACCACAGTGATATATGTACACCCATGTTCATAGCAGCACAGTTTGTAATAGCTAAAACTTGGAAACAGCCCAAATGCCCATTAACTGGAGACTGGATAAAGAAAATGTGGTTTTTTAATAAAATGGAGTACTACTCAGCCATAAAAAATGAGAAATTAGAGACATTTATAGCTAAGTGGATGCACATTGAGGCGATACTCTTAAGTGAAATAAATAGGACACACATGTGTAAATACCCAATAGCTTCTCTGGTGTGAGAAACTGAAAGTGTAAATAAGGACTAAATGTATAATAGGTCATGTGAAATAGGAAGAAAAGGGGCAAAGGGGAAGGAAGTGGGAGGGCTAGGGGAAAGGATAGAAGGGAATGGGATTAATATGAGAAAATGGAAAAATAGGAACAAAATCTTTGTAAATAGGGAGGACTGGAGGGGTTGAAGGGAGGGTTGGGCAAGGGTGAAAAATAAGAACCAAGAGAGACTATGTAAAGGTGCAAATTTCCAATGATGAATGTCATTATATTGTATACCTAAAATGTACCAATGATTAGAATGAATAATCGATAATGTAAAATAGGAAGAAAAGGTCCAAAGGGGTAGGGGTAGTGGGAGGGGCAGGGGAAAGGAAAGAAGGGAAAGGAAAAATGATGAGAAATGGAAAAAATGGAAATAAAGTGTTTGTAAATAGGGAAGGGTGGAGGGCGTGAAGGGAGGGCTAGGAATGGGGAAAAAATAAGAACCAAGATGCATTATGTAAAGGTACAATTCCCAATGAGAAATGTAATTGTATTGTATACCTACTATGTACCAATAAAAGAATTTAATACAAAAAAAATGTAAAGGTCTAGATATTCCAATTAAAAGGCAAATACTGTCACATTGGGAAAAAGCAGATGCATGCACGAAACACACTTTCAGTATGAGATGCAGTGGCTGAAAGCTAAAAGATGGGGAGGAATACTATGCACACACTACTACATGTACACCTGCTTATGTTAATATATACACACTGTGCTCACGTTAATACATGTACCTCATTTCACGTTAATACACACCCACCTACTCACACAAATACACACTCGCATTGCTCAAGCTGACACACACGTCTCATGGTCACACTAAAACACAGCACTCTCTAACACTATGGGAAAACAAGCTGGAGCGATTACATTTACACTACACAGAGTGTCTGATTTTTTAAAAAATGATACTGATAGACAGCATCACTTAATCAGGTAAAAAGAGTCAGTCAGAAGAGGGAACAATCCTCAAAGTTTTTGTACCTACAATATTTTTAAATGCATGAAACAAAAATTGATAGAAGTGTGAGGACAAATAGACAAAAATCCAAAATTAAAACCAGCATTTTCAGCATTCTGCTGTGATTAATCAATAAAATAGCTAGACAGAGAATCAGCAAAGATATAAAAGACTTGGTCAGCTTGACCCATGACAGCTATAAAACACATACCCAAACAGAGGAATGTACACTCTTCTCAAATACCAGGCCAAGACCGACTATAATCTAGACTAAAAACAGCATGTATTCTAATCAAATTATCCACTGACCACAGTGGAATTAAATTTAATCCACTGACCACAATGGAATTAAATTTGATCCACTGACCACAATGGAATTAAATTTGAAATCAACAGAAAGATCCTGAAAAATCCTAAATATGTGGAAACAGGGCTTCATCTGAAGTTCAGGTAAGAAGTAAATAAAACAGGTTTGTTAAATTTCATAGGAGGAAGTTTATCTGAAATTAATTAATTATTTCAAACTTCAAAGTCTACTGAAATTAATGAGCTTTTCCCCCCTCTATTAAAACAATGTGCTTATAGCTTTTGTACTTAAATTAATACATCTTTGGAAACATTTAAAATTTTCTTATATAACTTGCATTATCTTACGATTTTTATTTGCTGAATTTCAACCTACTACATTGATGATGTTTTAACTGGTCTTTTAAGTTAAATGATTCCTTTCATTAAAAATTTCTATATATGCAAAAACTATATCTACAGGATCCTGGGAAGTTGATTGAAATTGAATGTCTGGAGAGTGAACTAGAAGTTTCAAGACTTGAAAATAAAATTAAAGTCTACATCCGAGGAGCTGTTGAGGTAAAACCTTAAACAGGAGACATGACACACAGCCCGTTCTTCTGCAGGTTTCCTGGGACAAGGGGGGCATCGAGTTTGTGCCAGGTTTAAGAGCACCAAGGCCATGGCTGAGGCCCACTGCTAAATCCACCCAGCTCTGCACTGGTACTGAGGACAGCAGTGCAGGCCAGCTGTGACTCCACCTCCTCACCATGAAGGGGTGAAGACTTGGCCTCCTTTGTAAGAGCACTGGAATCTACACAGTGCCGGAGGCCCCAGAGCTACTCGTCCTCTTCCCTGGCATGGCTCCCCATGGCCCCCAGGTCCACCTTGTCCTCTCTGATACACTGGGCCTGGGACGTGACTCTCCTTAGGCCATGTCCTCCTGTGGCCTGTTTGGAGCTGCACGCCCATCCCCCAGTGCTGGAATCACTTGCCCTGGGGCCACAGCCTCCCGAGTCCTCATGAGGGCTGTCAGCCTAGCTCCTGTCCAGGAAGCCATCCCACTGGTGAGGCTTGAGAAAGGAAGGTGCCACTCTTAGTCCCTCATGTGCTACCTGGAACCCAAGGATCATTTGGAGTACTCCAGTCTGGTCATTCTACAGGCAGCTAGCTTCCTTTGTGAGAGCTAATTACAAACACTGTGGATGCTGTGTAAGTTTCTTACCTCCTGTGTAAGTGCAATGGCAGCTACTGGTAGAAATCACCAGACTATTTTGCAATAAGAACTTCACAGGTTTTTTGTTTCATTTTGTTTTGTTTTCTAAAAAAGAACAAAAGCCTATTGCAACAGAATTGCAGCAGATGAAGTCCAGCAGCACTGACGTGTGCCAAGGCAATACCCCTAGGATAGGCTCAGAAAATCCTTGCACCAGCCCCCTTGTTCCTGCCCCCTTCTGTGCCCACAGTGAAGCTACCTGTCAGGGCCACAGCTGGGCATGGAGGAGCCAGCCCTGTCTGAACTGTGTGTGCACTGCAGGCCATGAGCACAACAGAGGGGCTTCCCTGATCCCCACGTCTACCACACTTGTGTGTCAGTAGTCATCTCTGACTGGTGGATTTTTTTTTCTCCTTTTTATAAGTAAGCATTTTTTTGCATGCCACATTTTATGGTGAAACTGCAGTCGAGGCAGCCTGTGCATGTGGTGCTGTGGATTGCACAGCTTTACCCCACCACACCTTTGTCTTGGTCGACTTGAGAGGGGTCAGATACATGCTGGAGGCTCATGAGGCCTTGATGGACTCATCTTAGTTGTTAGCAGGTGTGCGCAGGTTTTGAATTTTCAGTGTGGGCTGTACCCTGTAACCCAGGAGCAGTGTTAGGGAGAGGCCCCAGAGCGTTTGGAAATGAGATGCTGTGGAGAGTTGGCTGACCAAAGGACAGGTGGGGCTTGAGGAAGGCTCAGAGCACAGGGTCATGAAATTCCAGACTGGAATTTCTGCTGGGAAGGGACTATAGCACAAACCAGAGAAGTTCTTTGTTTAATAAACAAAATGAATAGAGGCCAGTGATGGCAAGCCTTTTAGAGACTGTGTGCCCAAACTGCAACCCAAAACTCACTTATTTGTTGCAAAGTGCCAACATTGATATTAAACCTAAATGCTTGGCTGCGGGGGCAATGCTCAGGTGACTTGGCTCATGTGCTGACAGAGAGGGCTCTAGATGCCCATTGTGGCACACGTGTCATAGGTTCACCACCACTGATACAAGCCCCATTAAATACACAAGATCAATAACTAAAGAGACTCAGTGTCCACTCCTGGAAGAGGTATATGATGAAGTGCAAAACTTTTAAGCTTTTTGTCTTCTAACCATAATGTCTCCCTCCAGAAAATAACACTGAGACATTGTCACCACGGACCCAGGGCCTGGCCCAGCACACGGCCCTGAGTTCTCAGGGTATACCTGGCCCACCTGCTGCCCCAACCCCACATCCTCCAGCTCCTGACCTTGGTCAGAGCTGCCAGCACCAGCTCTGCCAGACCATACATAACTGGCTTCATAACTGGCACCAGTCTCACAATCTGCACAGATGTTGTGGTTATTTTTCTCATTGGTGAGACTAAATACCTGGCACCCAAAGTTAAAGAAAAAAGGGTTTATTTCAGCTCACAGTTTGTAGAGGTTTCAGTCCAGTCAGCTGGCTTCAGGGCAGGGTGGCATAACACAGGGGCATCACAGAAGAAGAGCGGTTCATGGTGTGGCAGGCAGAAGGCAGCGAGCAGCAGGTAGCCAGCTGTCTTTCCTTTGACCCCATCCAGGCCACCAGCCTTGTAGGTGGCAACACTCAGAACTATAATTCTAATTAGTGGGCTAATTTAGTACCACGCACACTTAATCCCAGTATCACACACCCTAGATTCAGCCAGATCCTAAAAGCCCCACCTATGAGCACATGAGGCTTTAGAGGGACATTTAGATACAAGCCATAACAACAGAGTCACTCAATGTACCCCCTGCAGGCCCAGCTGGACATAATAAAGAGACTGGACATGGCACTGCAACGCGCCATCCGCTTGGGTGACCCCCAGGCCATCCAAGTGGTGTGCATGACCCAGTGGAACACCTGCTTGCCTCTTCTGCAGCACAGCCTGCGGCACCACCTACGCAAGCCACTGACCAACATCGCAGAGATTCTGGAGAAGGTGGACAGGTGTGCACCCCCAGGGGCATGCAGCTGGAGAGGGACAGAGTCAAACTGCTCCTCTCCCTGTGGGCACATTTGTCATTCTGAGCATCATCAGTGGGATGCACAGCACCCCCTGAGCCTGGCTTCATTCACTTGGCTGATGCCTTTCAGTTTCATCGTGTTTCCTCCCTCAAGAGTCTTTTCCTTTGGTGGCTGAGTATCCCATGATATGAATATCCAACATGTTTTTTTTAATCTACTGGTCCATGGATGTAGGGTGGGATTAGCTGGAAAGAGGCTTGAAAATGTATCTTCAAAGCAGTGCTAAACATGTAGCAGGCACATTGCCATTATGAGAGGCCCTCTTCCAAGTGCTGCATCCCTCTGCTCATACCACACTGTAGGAGTCCCAGTTACTTCATATCCTTGCAACACTTAGTATTATCCATCCTTTTAAGTTTTGTTATTCTTGGGTATTTCACAGTACATTTTTTTATTGCCCCTATGCCTAGTGGTGAGCTTCTTTCACAGGCTTTTTGATACTTTCCTGTCTCCGATTGTGACACACCTGTACAAAACTTCTATTTCTGTCAGGTTTGACTCCAAACTTATGCTGGCTTTACAAGTTGGGAAGCATTTTTCTAAAATCACTTTCCAAAGCAATTTGTGTACCACTTGTAATTTTTTTCCTTGAACGTTTGGTAGAATTTAACAACAAAGCCATTGGGCCAGAGGGTCATTTGTTTTGTTTCGTGGGAGAGTTTCAGCCTGAGAGAGCCCGAGCCTGGGCTGAAAGGTGAGGAGTGATCCCTCATTCCTGGGAAGAGTCTTGGTAGCTCTTCCCAGCCTTCCTCATGTTCATTAATCATGTGGCTCATACTTTCTATGTCCTTGCCTTTTTGTGTGATAGTTCTAACTCTTCCCGAGACAGGAAAAGTAGAGACCAGCTGTGAGTGTGCATCTGCCTCTCTTTTCCATTAGTTCTGACAGTTTCACTTTCCAGTGTCAGGGCTCTGGTAGACACCTCCTCTGAGTCCCCTGTGGTTTGATAGAGATATTACCATGCCAACTCTGCATGCTCACTATTGTGTGGCTTTATCTGTTTCTGTCAGTGAATTGTAATCCTATTTGTTTTCTTAAATTGAAAGTCCAAAGAACATTTTAAGTGCATGTCTTTTAGATAACAGACAGTTGAGTCTTGCTTTTACATTTAATATAACAATTTCTGCTGCTTAGTTGGATTGTGCGGCCTTTTAGTAGCTGGCCTCTGATTCAAGCAATCAACTCATTACACACTCCCTACATGTGTCTCCTTTTCATCCTGCTGTTGCTGCTTCCCTGCCTCCTTTGGAGCTGGTTGCATGTTCTAGAAGTCTACTCTGTTTTCTCTGCCAGCTTCTGGGAAAAAGTGATTCTCTAGGGCCATTGCTTCTCCTTCACTTAGCACAGCCTGTGTAAGGTCACTTCAGTCACTTTTCCTGACACTTTTCAGTTCACTCTCATCCCACAGAGGTGCAGATCTTGCACCCTGTGACTTCATACCACACCCTTTCTTCATCTGTTGTCAGCTGTTCTTTCATTTGAGTAAAATAATGGGCTCCAGTATTTACCCCATATTTTCCAATCTCAGGGTCTCTTTTTTGTTTTTTCCAGGACAGAGGCCCCATCTAGTGAAATGCATCTCAGCCTGACAAATTTTTCACTCTTCCTGGGAGCAGGGCTGTGACTGACGGATGTGCTTAGCTTTGCTGATGTGAAGGTGACCCCACTTCACTCCTGTTTTTGGAAACTATTCTCACTAGTTACTGGATCCTGAACTGGCAGCTATGGTTCTTCTTTAAATGCTTTGAAAAAGGTTTCATTTTCCTCTAGCTTCCATGGTCTCTGATAAAAAGTCCAGTTATTGTAAGAATGGTTCCCCTGTCCTTTGTTCCTCCTTTCTGTTTTCAAGTTCGTATCTCTAGCTTTGGTTTTCAGCTTTTTGATTATGATATTCCTAGGAGCTCTTTTTAATTCTGCTTTTCTAAGATACTTGGATATGTAAAACGAAGCCTTCATCAAATTTGGGAAATTATTGGTTTGTTTTTTTTTTGATCTCCCCAATCTGCTCTCACCCTCCTCAAACAGAACTTTTTTTTTATTTCAGTTATTATCATTTTATAGTTTTTTTCCATTTTCTTTCACTTTCCATTTCTAAATGGAGATTCCCTATCTATTCATTTCCTCAATATTCTCTTTTCCCTCAATTTGAGAACATATTTACAATATTTATATTGTACTATCAGCTTTTTAGGATTTATTTGCTAAACCAGCTCCTGACATCTGTGTCCTGACCATGGGTAACATTCTTCTGCTGCCTTGCCAGTGTAGTGATTTTCACTCCTGCGGGTGATACACTATAACTGTTGCATTTTGTTATCTTTTTCAGAGAAGTGTTGGTTCCATCTAGCACCTCTCTGGAGGCCCAAGGTGCTTCCCAAGCCCATCCTCAGGCTCCAAATATGCCTTTCCTACAGAGCTCATGAGGCTGTGGTTTGAGGTTTTACTTGGGCAGGTGCTCTACCTCCTTAGCTCAGTGGGCAATGTAAAGGCCCCACCTGCTCTGTCATTGCCAGGAGGCTGTTCTGGGATGATATTGAGCCATTGTCACCAGCTCTTTCCTGAGTTTTCCTCTCCCAGAACCTGGTATTCATGCCTGGAAACTACTGTCTCCTGTCTTTGGTCCAGTTTTATGGATGCAGTGGTTGGCAGGATAGTCCATTAGGAGCCACTTTATCATAGTTAGAAGAAGAAGAAATAGAAAATTATTAACGAAAGGCTTTTCACTGGGCCACCAAGTCATTTTGGGAGGATATGGACTCTAGTTTTTGAGTCTGGTGGCCATGGTTTTCATTTCCCTCAAGGGCTCCTCTCTGTGTGCTGCTCCTGGCCAACTTGGCCACCATCCTAGGTAATCTGGTTCTAGGAGAGTCTTACATGTGGGGTTCAGTGTGCACATTGCCTGTTCTTTGGGTGCTGCATTTCTCCCCATGTGGACTCACTCCCACTTTTTTTGGCTTCTTTGTTCTTGGCCCCAGACCATATGAAAACAGCTCAGTTCTGGCTGCTGTCTAAACCTGTAGGCAGTGTCTGTGGACCCTGATTCCCTGGCTGGGAGCATACTTGGCTTTGACCAAGGTCCTTCTGGCATCTGCATGGTGCTCTGGGCTCCTGAATCCTGCAGGAGTCCTGCCTGACACCATGAGCTTTCTCTCTTTTTCCAGCCTCACAGTGTTCCTCACTTTCCTTGACCTGTTTCTGATTTCTTCTGAGATTACATGTATTAATGTCACTTCTCTGATTTGATGAAAAGTCTGTCTGTCCATGGGTCCTGTAGAATCTTTACAGTCTTTGGGGGTATGCTAAAACTATGTCTTGGGACAGTGTTTGAGGTGGCCCTCTCCCATGCTATTGACAGCAAAGGCTTTGCTCAGAAACAAGGGCTTCTCCAGGGCGGGGTTGAGGGCCTGGTATGCCCACTACAGTGGTGACATCACAAACTTTCCAGGAGATAGAGGTGCATTTGTGTGATAGACACATGGGGAGCAATGGTTTCTGCACGGTTTATGAGTACTGCTTCCTCTGGAGCTCATGTCACAGAAAGTCTCACCAATGTTCATCCATTTGCCACCTGCCACTCCTTACCAGTTGTGCTCTGAGGTCTCCAGTGGTCTGCAAGGACAGTCCCTTTGGCCCTTTGTGTGAGTTCTCAGAGCAACAAGGCAAGGTATGATCAGAGGGAGACGAGAAAGCCGGGGGCACTGAGAGGCCAAGGCATCACCTGCCTCCTGTTGGAGGGTGGACCCCAGCCCTGCACATCTGCTTGGCCACCCAACCAGGCCCTCCAAACACATGTGCCCATCTCCCAGCCTCATGACCCTGCTTCGCTGCCAAGTGCACATGGAAATGGCATGCATTGAAGAGGATGAGGACCGACTGGAGCCCGCCATGGAACACCTGCAGAAGGCCATGAGCCTGGACAGCCTGGGTCTCTACCAGGACAAGCTCAAGACAGCCTTCAACCGCCTGCGCCTGTGTACCATGTTGTACCAGTCTCCAGAGCGTGCTGAGGACAAGGCCATCATGGCCATTGAGCAGGTGCAGCCACAGCCTGTTGTGGGGGCTGGCTGGAGAGGGAGCTGGAGGGGACCCCAGATCTGTGCAGACTCAGCACAAGGTTGGGGCTGAGGTACAGGGTGTGGCAGGGATGGAGCTGCCTAGGGCCCACTTGACAGCAAGAAGGCCATGTTGTGGCTCAGGGAAAAAACCCAGGTTTTCCTCTGAAGGCTGAGCATCCTCAGAAGGACCAAAGAAGAGGCTACTTTAGACAACATGCTCATCAAATTGGCCCTTCCTTTTGCAGGCAAAAAAAGTTATGCCAAAAGACAGTGTCAGGAAGAAGCGGGCCCTCCTGGTGAATGCGGGCCTGGCTCTCGCCCCAGATACCTTCCAGATTGTGCTAGACAGTGAAAACGAGGCCAAAGGTGAGCTCTACTCTCCACTCTCAGAGCCTGGAACATTCCTGTCTTAAAAGTTTCCTTCACTGCTTAGGACCCACTCCAGGCCTTCATGCTATCTTGAGCCCAACCCCAGACAAAGGCAGGACCCCAACAAATCTGTCTGTGCTGTGAGCCTGCACTTGATGTCCCTGACCTCAGTCCCTAATGTTCTGTCTTGGGTTTCCTGAAGCACCAGAGAGCAGCTTTTTCCACACACTGCTGTTAGTCAGTTCAGGCCACCACAGCAAAGCGTTACATTCTAGGGGATGAGACAGTGCCTCTATCTTCCTACCATTCTAAAGACTCGATGTCCAAGAAGAAGGTGTGGCAAAGCTGCTTTCTCCTGAAGCTTCTCTCCTTAGCTTACAGATGGTCATCTTCCTCTGCTGTACACGCCGACATCCCTTAGGTGTGCCTGTCCTGATGTCTTCTTCTCACAGGCCTCACTCAGAGTGGCTAAGGCTGGCTTAATGGCCTCTTCCCCTTACTCACTTCTGTCCAGACCCCCTCTCTAAATAAAGTGACATTCCAAGATCCTTAGGTCAGGACTTAAAGGGAGCCTCTTTGGGGTCACTAGTCAGCCCAAAGCAGTGTCCAAGGCACAGGGACAGTGGCTCTGGGGTTGCCTTTCCACATTTATTACTCAGGTCTAGCCTCTCAGCCATTGCCTTTATTCCCAGAGAGACTGTAAACTAATTTCAGGTAATAGAATACAAGGCTGCTGCATCACCCAAGTGTGGCTGGTGAGCCAGGAGAAAGAGGAGCATGTCCGATCCTCACAGCCCTAGCTCTTCCTCCCCAGGAGCAGCAGGGCAGGCCTGTCTGCCTGTCCTCATGGATGGAGGCTGCCCTCCATCTCCGCTCTCTGACATCTGGTGACAGGGACTGGAGCCTTGGAGGTGGTAGTCAAAGCTGGTGCCATCCTTGTTGTGAATCTGAGGATAAAGGAGAGGAGAACGAGGTCAGATAATGTCACCCTAAGAAGTTTGATGGCTCTGGAATTGGCCCCAGGAGGTGTAGGCACCATCTCTCTGTCATGCTTCACCATCTCTCTTGGTCACTTTGCCTCCTGTGGTTTCATTTCATTCTAACAAGTCGAGAAGCCATTGTAAATTTGTGGGCATCACTTGGATACATATGTTTTGCTTTCTTGATTCATTTTAGTCAATGAACATGAACTTCTGGCCACCTGTGGATAGGGTGTGTTCCTGCCTGAGAGGGTGAGCAAGATAGCACACACTCTAGATTCAGCCACCTCTGAATAAGCCCCACCTAAGACCTCATGAGGCTTTAGGGGGACATCTAAGCACAAGCTGTAACATACATGTATCAATTCCCCATAATGAATGTAATCGTTACATACTACCAACATATACCAATAAAAAATATTTTTTAAAAATTCCTCAGTCAGCTAATCCCTTACAACCCAGTCATCATTTGTATTTTGTTTTCTGTTCTCAGTTTCCATTGGGAAAAACAGGGGCCGGTTCACCTATCTCTTTGCAAAGGCTCGACATCACATGCTCAGTGTGGACAAGGCTGCTGGGCACTTACTTCATCTGGGAAATGAGAATGACCAAGAGAGGTAAGAAAGGAACAAAACAAGCACTCTTCCAGAGAAAAAAATGGACAGAAAAGCAAAGAAAGCAAAGTCAGCAGGAAGGGCCTACCAGCCTGAGTATACTGTCTGGAGGCCAAGCCTATGGCTGCCCAGGTGCGCAGGCTCCAGTGTCTCTGCCCCACCGAGAGGCCTGATAGGTGGGACCTTGCCTGCTCACCTATAAGAGACAACAGGCCTCAGCCCATGCAATGTGTAGCCCGTGGTGACACTGTCACTCCTATGCATGATGCCGACTGTCAGGACACATCAACCAGGGCAGACCAGGGTGTCCCCAACCTAGAGAGACTTACCTCACACCTCAGCCAGGGGAACAAATTGTGTGGGATATTTCTCATTGTCATAAGGATGGGAAGGTACAGTACCACCAGTACCTGATGGGGAGAACCAGAGAGCTGCACCTGATCCCAGGGACACGCCACATGGACTCATGGGCCCTCACCACTGCCTGCAGCCCACCGGCCAGGGCTGCCCCTCTCACCTCACATCCATGCCTATAACTTTGCTGGGACTCAAAGTCATTCTTTACAACCTCAAAACCATACAACATTGGCTTTTCCTCTCAAGCAGTCATTCTGGGTATTTTCTAATTTCACAACTTGGACTGAACTTGCTTTTCTCCTGTTTGGATCTTGGGGAGCAGAATTCAGATTTGGGCAGAGCTGGCCAAAGTTGCCCGGAAGCAAGGGGTCTGGGACGTGTGTCGGACTGCAAGCCGCTTCTGCCTCCTGTATGACATCAAGGTGAAGAAGCCAGGGAAGCTGAAGCGAGGTACACATTTGTTTCAAGCACATCCCCCCTCACTGTGCAGAGTGGGCTGACCCTCAGGCCTGTACACACCTCCGAATGGTGGTGGTGCTGGAGGTCCCTCCCTACCAAGGGTGCCTCATGGGGGTTGTGATGCCTACCAGCTGAGGGACCTCTTGGCAGGGGCCAGTTTTTTCCCTGAAGTAACAGGAAAGTTTACTAATCTTGCACTTTGGTTCAGAGGAGCCTTCTAAATGTGTGTAGTTATCCCTTCTCACCTGCAGGCTCCTTGCCCACAGATTCAGCCCTGAGGATTAAAAATATTTAAAAACAGTTGCATCTGTACTGAACATGTATAGACATGTTTTTTGTTGTTATTCCCTAAATGATACAAAGTGACAGCTATTCACATGACACTTACATTGTACTAGATGTTATAACTAATCTAAGATGGTTTATAGTGTGTGCAGCTTACATGCAAGCATGGTGGCATTTTATATAATGGACTGGGGTACCCATGGATTTGGGTATTTACATGGGGTCCTAGAACCAATCTCCATGGATACTGAGGAATAACTGTAATTGCAGCTGACTAAAAGTAACTATTCAAAGTTACCATTGGTTATCATTATGCCATCTGTCATTGAGTTGCTTTGGCCTGACTGTGTGCAGGGTTGCTATAGGGTCCATCAACCCCCCCCCACACACACACACACCTGGGCCCATCCCACACAGAGCTGGGGAGAGGATTAGATATCAGGGAGCAGGTCAGGTGTCCTTCTGTTTTTGTTTACTAGAAAAGAGGCAATCTTCAAACAGTGCTGTTCCCCTCAGGAAAGAAAAAGAAAGGTGCAGAAGGCTCGGTGCATGATGTCTGGAGCCAGTCCCATGTGGTCCTGCAGAAACAGACATCCCCGTACCTGCTGCGGAAGTTTGCAGAAGTGGGGTTCATCAATGCTGAGGTGGGTCATGGCATGCTTTCACTCATCTTCTAGGTACCTGCACTCGCGGATTGGGGTCATTGTGACCTATTAATCTGGATCCATTAGAGCTATAGGTCACAGTACTCCACCTCTGCTCCCCAAATAAAACTATATGTCGAGGAGGGAAATTTTCTTTTTTTTTTTGTATTAAATTCTTTTATTGGTACATTGTAGGTATACAACACAATTACATTTCTCATTGGGAATTGTACCTTTACATAATGCATCTTGGTTCTTATTTTTTCCCCATTCCTAGCCCTCCCTTCACGCCCTCCACCCTTCCCTATTTACAAACACTTTATTTCCATTTTTTCCATTTCTCATCATTTTTCCTTTCCCTTCTTTCCTTTCCCCTGCCCCTCCCACTACCCCTACCCCTTTGGACCTTTTCTTCATATTTTGCATTATCGATTATTCATTCTAATCATTGGTACCTTTTAGGTATACAATATAATGACATTCATCATTGGAAATTTGCACCTTTACATAGTCTCTCTTGGTTCTTATTTTTCACCCTTGCCCAGCCCTCCCTTCAACTCCTCCAGTCCTCCCTATTTACAAAGATTTTGTTCCTATTTTTCCATTTTCTCATATTAATCCCATTCCCTTCTATCCTTTCCCCTAGCCCTCCCACTTCCTTCCCCTTTGCCCCTTTTCTTCCTATTTCTCATGACCTATTATACATTTAGTCCTTATTTACACTTTCAGTTTCTCACACCAGAGAAACTATTGGGTATTTACACATGTGTGTCCTATTTATTTCACTTAAGAGTATCGCCTCAATGTGCATCCACTTAGCTATAAATGTCTCTAATTTCTCATTTTTTATGGCTGAGTAGTACTCCATTTTATTAAAAAACCACATTTTCTTTATCCAGTCAGGAGGGAAATTTTCATGAGTTCTTGGAAGATTTTCTGGGAAACCAATATGAACAGAAATGCATCATGTTGTGTGCTAATGCAAAATTTTTGTTAGAAACAATTTCTGAACTGTGAGTCCATAGTTACAAAGTTACACAGTAAAGCAGGTAATTGTCTTTGCATTTGGGGGATTTTAATTGGACTCAATTCTAGAAGTTTAACAGGTGATCCTGGAAGTGCTTCAGTGTCCTGGCCCAAGGCCTGGACTCACAGCTGCAGCCCCTACAGGTCTATTCCCACACACACACGGGGATGCTGAGATGTGAGATCAGCCCTGCCTAAATTCAGTAGGTAGAATGTAGCCCAGCTGAATCCAAAGCCCACTCTTCAGCCCCGGGTCTGAGCTCTTAGCCCAGCACCTGCACAAAGGCCCTTGGTTACTTTGTGACATGTTGTGACTTCAGAGTCCTCAGATCTTTAGAAGTGGGCACAAGGCTGAGGCCAAAGCACTCTGTAATTAATTCAGTAAGAATCTAAGGGATATGGGCACAATCAGATCCAACCCCTGTGCTCAGGGACCTACTGGCCCGATGGCAGAGCTAGCTTATGGAGTGAGATAGCTGGCTACAACCCTGAGGCTTACCCAGCCTGATGTCACCCAGATCCATTTCTCCTCAAAGTCCCTCAGCCTGTCCCCAGTGGGGTTCTTAGCCTTTAATGCTGAAAAACAGATTCACAACGCAGTCAAGGAGATTTGAAACTGGCTGGACATTTGCTAACATGAAAAATGTCTGCTCATCTCCAGAGGTCTGATGGTGGGTGTGGACTGACTGAGCTTTTAAAACAAGTTCTTCTCTTCCCGAGATGTGCACCTTTATGGTAAAGTGACAGATCATCAAGGAAGACAAGGTGCATAGGGCTCATCATGCAAGTCTCTCTGCCTTCTATCTGGCATTTGCAAACAAACCCTAAAGGAAAGATGTTTGGCTGTGTATTTCCCCAGTGCTAGGCCCCTGCCATGCCCATGACCTTTCCCATCATGCACTTCCTTACAGGCCACTGTCCACTTGCTGCGCTCAGAAGGTGTGGAGCTGAATGACCACGCTATCCCTCCTGAAGACTCAAGCCAGCACCCTGCTGGCTACGTGCCTGAGCCCCTAGATACCAACACAGAGTGGATCACATACAGGTGGGCAACAGTCCTGGCTATGGTGTGGGATGAGGATTGATGTGTCCCTCTGCACCCATGGGGCTGAGAACACATAAAAACATGGTCTTCTTTGTAGGAGCAATATCCATTCTCACATAAATAAGGCAAAGCACTAAATACAAAGCAAGACTATAAATTGCTTTATCTGGCCATCAGCAGTGCATCCTAGCAAGACCATGAGCACAGGTTGTCACTAATAAGAGGGAAGAAAGCATACGACTGTTTTCTCCAGTTGGTTTTGGTAAATCATACTTCTGTCCACTTTAGTTAGCTTTTCTCACTGTTAGTAAAGTTGAGCTCTAGGGGGAGCAGCACCAGTGGTGGAAAGTGGAGGAGCAGCTCCTTGAGGTCCAAATCTTAAAAGAAAGCTGTCACAGAGCAGCTTGAGCCCTCAACAGTCCTTGCATACAAATGACACACATTAATTTGCACAGAACATCTCAAAAGATCTGCCCATGTGAAATTTCGAGTTCAAAAACAATCATGAAACTAAGGTAGATGTTATATCAACCATGATGGGCTTTAGTGACTTTTTAATCTAAAATATTTTTTTAAATGAATATGGTATGAATGAACATTCTCCACATTTATGTGACAGAAACTGAATACTATTTAACTGTGGTCCCAATTCAATTGGGGAAGAAGAAAGGCTATTTCCTGTACAGTACTGACACAGTGTTTACTGTGCAACCTGCCTGCTGTCCTGCCAAAGAGAGAGGAAAGAGGTAGCAGCAGTAATTTCTGCACATGTTTCTCTTGGCATTAGAAGAGAATCACTCATCAGTAGCATTGTGAGACCAATGATCTGGCCCAGGCTCCACCCTGGGTCCATGTCCTGTGAGCACACTGTCACAGGACAGGGGACAGGGACACCTTTTTGGCCCAGGCCTGTTTCTGGATGAGGTATCCACACCCAAGTACCTGGCCTGTTTATGTACAGCTAAGGGTGGGTTTGACATTTAAAAATTTTAAAAACAAGAAAAATATGCAACAGAGACTATATACAGCTCTCAAAACCCCAAATACTGACTATCTGCCCCTTGACAGAAAAAGTTTTCCCTGCCTGGGATGGCAGAACAGAGACACTGTCCCCACACAGTGGGGTTGAGTGACAGCAAATTACCCCATGCAGCCTGTGTGTGATGGGAGCAGAATGGTGAGGAGGCCAGGGTGTGAGGGTGGATGCAGAGGTGGCAGGCAGTCTAGGCAGGGCCTCGAGCCAGGAGTTCCTCCTCAGAGCCGGTAGCAGGGCCCACACCATGAGAGAAGCAGCAAAGGGCAGCAGCCAGTGTCCAGATGGGAGGTGAGGACAGACTGGAGCCAGCAGGAAGAGGAAAGAGTGAAGGATGGGTGGGTTGCATAGGTGGACTGTAGGAGGGTCTTGGAGGGCAGCACCAAACTGAGGATGGCCACAGTGGGCTCCCATCTGAACCCTTGGGCTGCAGATACAACCTGAAACATCCCTGTATAACTGAGCAGGGACCAGTAGGAGGGTCCTGTGCATTGTCTTATTTAGGAAAAGCTTTGTGTGGAACTGAATGCTTCATGGTGTGCATTTGCAGAACCTGGATAGAAAACCTGTCACATTATGCCATGAATAACTGGTTGCGCTCTGCGGAAATCGGACAGGAGATAGGTGAAGCCTGGATTGTGCAGAATGCTGTGGTCTATGTCCTGAATCACAACCACCATCTCATCACAGCTGGGCGGCAGAAGGAGCTCGTGGACACCCTGTATTACCTCCTGAACATCATCAAGGACATTGGCCCCCATGGGTGGGTGTGGGGGATGCTGCACTTATCCACATGCAGGGAAATACAAACTCAGGCCAGGGTCCATGGAGTCAGCCTGTCCCCTGGGCTAGAGGGACACCAGCTGGGGTGATCAAGGAGGGGTCTGGCCTGCACTCCAGTGACAAAATCTCCACCCCAACATAGCCTCACGTCCACCACTGAGCTCCTGCCTGCCTCCAGCTGCTGCCAGTGATTCAAAGTCTGCCTGGGGCTGGGTCACTCAGTGTGAGGCAGAAGAGTGACTCTGCCCTCCTTTCATCCTGTGTTTGGGGTAGAGGATGGAAATCTATGTTTATGTGTTTTTATCCACATGGATATGAATTTTTTCCCAGTTAAAATTAGAAGTTTGAAAACATTAAGTTGGGTCAAAGTTTCATCTAAGATGAAATTTTAATGTATTTTTTTTTGTCATTGTTGTTGGTGGCTTGGCTTTTAGTCTGAACAAAAGGGTTTTTTTAACCCCAGGCATCAAAGTAGGATACTAGAGTGACTCAGAATTCATAAACATATGTGCACTATGATTTTTAAAATTATGAGTAACAAAGAAAATGAAATAAGTAATTGCTCAGCAGTGTTTACCTCTCCCCCGGCATGGGTCCCTGACAGGGCCCATTTGGGCCAGGCATCCCGCTAACTATGCAGGATACCCAGGTCACAGCCTTGGGTCATACTGGATGGCCCAAGAGAGGCCAAGGGCCCCTACAAGCTGAGCTTCTCCTCACAGCACAGCCATCCTGTCTCTTGTAGGTAAATCCAGCTGTTTGGCATCTGGACTATTTCATGTTTCCCCCAACCCCATTCCACCTGGTAATCACAGCTAGACCATTGCTCATGGCTTCCAGGACATCTCAGCCATACAACCTTGGGCAAAGTAGCTTTTTTGCTTTGGCCAGTTCTTCTCAGGATCCTTTGAAGACCCTTCCCTGTCACATAATTCCCGCTCTGCCCATGGCCCTGAGACCTGCCTTGCCTGAGCAGCAGGAGCTCCAGCTCTGCCCTCAGAGGTCTGCTGTACCTCCTTGAGCTGGCCCTGAGGACAGCAGGTGACCCCCTCCAAGTCCCAGCAGATGAGTCAAGGGAAGAGATTTAGTCGCCCCCAGACCCACAGAGACACCACAAGGATCTGCATTGATGGTGTGCCCTACCCTGGGGAAGCTCTCAAGCTTGTGTGCTTGATTCCAGGAACTCAGTCATGTTAGCCATGCTCTGCAATGCCTTAGCTCGAGGCCTGATCATCAGCTGGATTCCCACCCAGACATATGAAAAGTCAAGAAAAGTTATGAGACTAAATATGTTTCAAGCTCCACTGGACTCAGGAGCTACCTCTGAGATCAAGACAGCGATAGAGGTATGGCCTCGCCAAGCCAAGGGGGGCGAGGGTGTGGGAGGGGACGGAGCAGAGGCCTCCTGGACACACTTGGGGGAAGGACTGGTTGGAGGGGAAGCCACTCAGATATGGCCTGTTGGGGGAGAAAGGAGGGCCCATGGCAGACCAGAGATCAGGGTGTAAAGGCCTTTGGAGGCTCCAGACTAGACAGGGAAGATCCCACTCATCAGGTGAGAGATGTGTGAGCAATTCAGAAAGTGGGACTTCAGGGCTCCAGCCACTGGAAAACAGGTGAGTGGGCAGGGGCAGGCATAGGTAACAGATGGGATGGGGTACAAGTTAGGAGTTCTCATGGGTCAGAGTTTGTAGCTGCTTCTCATGCTTCTCAGGGCAGAGGAAAATGTGGAAATAGATCTAGGAAGGGACCCTTGTCACTTGGGAACAGAAATGCAGCAACCAATAAAGTGCTAACATGCCAAGCAATGGGACTTATATCATGAAGTTTATTTCCCAGTAAATGTGAGTTTCATTGTGGTAATCCCTACTGAAGGAAAAACTATGGTCTTTTTGATGGCAGCTGTAAGGGTTCAATAATCCATCAACCATTTCTAACTCAAGGAATCCTATAAAACTTGAAACAAAGTCAGTTTCCTCCTGAGTCCAAGGGGGAACTGTCAGATCCTCAGCAGAATCCCAGAGTGTGGATCCCCAGAAGTGTTTGTGGGGAAAACAGGAGCAGGGAAGGCCCGTGCCATCCACTGCTGGGGTACAGGATGAGCTGTCCCTGCCTGAGCCATCAGGAGGAGACAAGAGGCAGGCAAGCTGTCCATGCTTCAAAGGTACCTTAAAGGTGCCTCAAAGTGCCACTCAGGCCCTGGGTAAAGCAGTGTTCTGAATAGTTGCAGAGCTTGCTGCTTCATTCACTGCAGGTGTCTGCAGGTAACACTAAAGACCAGCCTGTGTGGAGGTGAGAGCCAGGCTGGATAAGGCCCTGGAGTCACGGAGTCACAGGGCCACAGTGAGGACAGTGATCTGCAAAGGGCTCCTATTGGGACTGAAAGGGAGAGCACAAGGCACATGGCTTTTGCCTGTGACAGCCCCAGGAAGGTCAGCACAAGCCAGCCAGACAGGCCACATGAGCATTTAAATCTTCCTCTCTAGAAGGGACAGAGGGCCAGTGCAAAGGGCCACAGGGAGTAGGACCCTAGCCTGGAAAAGGAGGTGGGCAAGTAAAGGAAGGGGCTGGTGTGGCCAAGGGACATAGTGGAAGGGAGGAGGTTCCCAGCTGGATCCAAGTGCTGAAAGGATGTGCTTGAAGTGGAATCCCAAGAAAGTCCTGCTCAAAACTGTCAGAGTGAAGGAAATCTGAGTACAGTGCAGGCTGGAGGACCAGGTGGCAGCGATGATAGTGTGGGAACAAACCTCACTACAGTGGAACATGGGAACTTGTGTGGTAGAGGAAGGATGCCCTGCTCAAGCTGTGGGGTCAGCATGGCCCACATGTATTCCAGCAGGGCTTCCTGTGGAATGGGATAGGGCTGTCTGGGAGTTTATCCAGAAGCCTGAATGGAGGACAGCAGGAAAGGACTTGTTACAATCTGTGTTTTACGAGCACCAGGATTCATGTTGTGGCTCATAGTCAAGTGACCCCAGGTTAGCAAATAGTCATTTCTAGTGGCAGTACCTACTGCACTGGCCAGGCTCTGTACAATAACCCACATATGGTGTTGTAGTTCCACTTAAAGGTAAGGAAACTGGAGCACATAACTAGTAAAGGAAGAAAGCGTGGGCAGCTGGGCTTTCAGTGCCCCAACCACACACCCTTGCCACAAACATGGTAGATCCATGCCCCCACTTTCAGGAGTCCCAGGCCTGTTCACACTCCCAGAACTAACACCACACTGGGGAGTAGGATGCTGTTCACCCTCTTACTGGCTTTGGGTTTCATTCGTGACTGCACCACAGAGTGATAGCCCCACGCCCAGGCAGTAAGGACTTAGGAAGCAGAGGATGTGACGCATCCACAGAACTAGCAGGGACCTAGGGAGCTGCTAGGTCCACAGGAGCCCTCCAGGCAGCTTGAGGACTGGACCACCTCCTCGGGCTAGACCAAAAGCCAGGCCCACACATCCGTTAATGACTGGGCTGTGGCTCAAGCTCCCCTGCTTAGATTAGAGCTTTGTGAATGAAGACATGTCCCTTTTAGGTCTGCGAGTTTGCGCTGAATTTGACCAACGGGAACATCCCAGAGGAGGTAGTTCCCATCAGTGTGCGACAGCAGCTCATCGCCACCTGGGTGAAGGCCAAGCAGATGCTGCAGCTGCAGATCGGGCACCGACTGGGCATGGAAGAGCAGGTGCTGTGCAGTGCTATGGACACGGCTAAGGTGGCCTGGGGGCAAGTCAGAGACAGGCCTATGAGTGGGATCTGCAGTCTGCCTACCCCTGTAGTTAGGCCGTTTGTCCTCATCACCACCTCAGTCATGATGCAGTGGTGGGGAGTATGTCCCATTAAGGATAGTCTAGGGCCTCTGTTTCCCCACTAAAATCACTGCCCTAATTGCCCTTGAGAGTCAGCGCTCCATAGGATATGAGCTCTGGACCTCTGGGGATACTGCCCACCCTCAGTGCCATTCATGGACTGAGGGTCACCTCCTTAGGCACCAGCCCCTCTCCAAACTGCAAATACAAAGGTCTGTGGAAGGAGGGGATAGGACGAGGCAGGGGCCACGGGGACTCAGAGCCACCCCATAGAGTCCCTGCTTCCTGCTGTGGGGCCACAATAGGCCTGGGGTAGAGTAGACCAGAGCACAGCCTGGGCAGGGAGCAGTGGGAAGTCAGGGAGGGAACCAAGGAGAAGAGGGGGGGACATTTGGGCCCAGCCAGGAGTGAGGGATGCATGAGAGAACAGGAGGGCCTGGGCAGGCAAAGATGGAGGAGCTCTGGGTCCCAGTGGCTGCTCCCCACCTCTGGTCAGGTCACCTAGCTATCAGCTATCACTCAACACTGCCCTACATGCTTTGGGCTGCACAACTTCACAACCTTTTTTATTACATGACACGATAACTTGGAGGTGGACATTTACAAAAGTAGTCTAAGGTGTAATCACTCCCAAATTTGTGATCTGATTATTGCTATAAAAACTAATGGTACACAGGATTAAATTCATGAATTGTCCAGTTCCTCTGTAGCCATCCTCCCCTGTGCCTCAGGCTGACAGATGCTCAATGCCCCTTCTGTCCCACTAGAGCACCAACGAGAACATCAACTCTGTGACCAGAGTCCTTGTCACTCTCGAGATGTACTCATGCAATGGCCTGGGCCTCATGGACTTTACTGTGCCCTCCCTGGCCCAGGTGAGTGACACTAGATGTCCTGGGAGGCACACTAGCATCTGTGTGCAGAGAAAGCCACCACCCAAGAGGGACAAAGGAGCTAAGGTCCAGAGCATCCCATCTGCACCAGCTAGAATTTCCACCCAAGGCCACATCCTCACCATGTTCCCCAACCCCCGACACAGCTGTGTATCCTCATTCCCTGAGAGCACAGAACTCCAGTTCCTGTTTGGAACATCTCTTTGTTCTGGCATAAGGAAGAGTACTTCTCTTTGTAGGCTCTCCATGTCCTTCTGGTCCTGAGCCTTCAGCACAGGCAGAGGCATCCCCGGGTACACACTCACCCTGTCCCAGTCTGGAGGCAGCCCCATGTGGCAGGAAAGCCTCACAGACCCTGGGCCATCTGTAGCTACTGAGGACAGTGATGAGGATTTTGTGGTGTTTTACACTACATGCAGTCTTTACAAATCATGGATCTGTCTGGAATAGCATAAGCCATATCATCTTTGTCTAGATGAATGTTATACCATGTGCAAGATTTTACAGAATTAAATGAGCTCACTAAGCTCTAACAGCACTGCCTCTTTGGGGGACTGCATGCTGTTGAAAAGTCATCATCACTAACGAGAGGTCCTTCTCTCTCTCCATTGGGAAGCTGGTGAAAATGGCTTCTGAGTGCAGCTGGTCAGATCCTCTGGTGGAGCTGCAGACCCTGACACGGCTGGCTCACTTTGCCTACGTGGCCCGTGACCACAAGATCACTATGGCCTCCTCCGAGCAGGCCATACAGATGGGCATCAAGAACCTGAGGACACTGGGTCCGTAAGTAACCTTGGTAATGATGTTCTAATGTTCAGACCATGTCTTCAGTTTCATCTTCAGTTTGTGCTGTGTGGGGGCACCCACTCACATCAACAGGATTTGGGAGGAAGATGCCATCTGCCTCATGCTGAGTCTAAATTCCCACAAGGACAGGATCAGGCTGCAGTGGTAGCTCCAGAGCTGTGTTCACATAGCCAGTGAAGATCTGGGAGTCAAAAAGCAATGCCACCTGTGGTGTCTGTACCTTGTCAACCTCCACGTGTCCAGGGGCACAAGCACAGTGACAAGTAACCCCATGCCTGGTGGGTTAGAGAATACTTACTCTTCCCAGTGGAAAAGTGCTACCATTTCCAGGTTCTAGATGAGGAAACTGAGGAAGCATAGATTTAGTCACTCATCCTGGACCACCCTGCTGGCATTGCACTTGGTTGTAAGAACCCCTTTCAGCAAGGCAAGGCTATGCAGCTAGGGGGATGGCTAGCAAGGACATGGCACCTAGTCAGCAGCACCCTCAACACATTGTACATTTGTGACATTTGTTTTCTGAACTGTTATAAGCCCTGTGCTCACCAAAGTAAGGGTGCAGGGTGAGCTGAAGGAATGCAAGAAGGTTTTGTATAGAAACAAAAGAGCCCAAGCACAGCCACGACAGAGCCTCAGCCTATCATTCTTTGGGCAGCATTGAGACTTCCAGTGTATTGGGGCAGGAGTAGTTTTTTCTGGTGATGTTTTCTACCCACCATCACTCTGCCAGATGTTACAGTGTTTTTTGTTCTGATGTCCCACCCTAGCCTTCCTGGGAAACAGGAAGGTGGCACCAATGGGCTGGTTTCCAGAGTGTTCAGGGCACCACATGCTGCCACCTTACCTTAGAAAGGGAGATTTTGTGGGCTTTGCATGGATGAAAGAACGCTTAAAAAAAACCAAACCAAACATGGAATGTGTTTGCAAGACACAGCATTTGCCAAGTTAAAGCAGCATTGTAGAGGAACAATCAGAGACTAAAGAGCTTCTAACATTCAAAAATAAAGTTCAGGAGCCAAAAATAAACTAACTGAAATGTTAGAAGGTAAGGTGAAGGAAATGTCTCAGAAAATGGGCAAAAGGTATAGAGAGACAGAATATGAGAGAAGAGTGATGCACGCCCAGCTTTTGGGATTCCAATAGGAGCACAGACAACAACAGACAAGGACATGGAAAAGAAGCGATGCAGGAGCATCTCGGCTCTGACTGACCCTCATTCATGGGATGCAGCAAGAAGAATGCAGAGAGGGACATGTCTGGGGCAGCATGGGGACACATCAGGTCACCCACTGATAACAAGAAGATCCTAAAACACTGGGAAGGAATTCTACAGAATGTAGCCACCATCTCGGTAACTACTACCGAAGCAGAAAAAAAAATGGAATGTCAACCTAGAATCCTAGCTCAGAACTAGCAGTCAAGTGTAAGATTAAAATAAAGCCACTTTTATACAGACAAGGACCCAGAAAAAGTACTTCTCCTATCCCATTTTTGGAAAGTTTTGTGAGGATACAATCCAAAAGACAATAGCAAATTAAAAAGGAGAAAGTTGTGGGATTTCAGAAATAGTAGGTTGAGTCCAAAAAGTAGTCAAGATGCACTCAAGTTTGGACAGCTGCGTAGCTTGCTGAGAAAGCAGGTATCTGAATTGCAGGGAAGAACCTACTGTGAATAGATTGAGAAGCATTGTGGAAAGGAAAACGGCATGAGAAGAAAGCTTTGGAAATGTCAAGAAAACAGAAGTAAGGCATACTTAACACCAGTAGAAATCCTGCACATGCTCATGGTGGTGTTGACGTTCCACCTTCAGTATTACTAGTTTACAAAAAGAAATGATTAATTTTGACAGTTCAAAATCAAGTAAAAGCACAACAATAGGGCCAGGATTTAGCTCGGTGGGGCTGCCGCCTGCCTCGAAACCACAAGGTCCCAAGTTTGATCCCCAGTACCAAAAAAAAAAAAAAGCACAGACAACATTCTGTAGAAGAGAAGAAAGAAAGAGTGATAAAGGGGAAAGGACCAGGGTCATTATTCCCTCACCTGAGTCAAAGTCAAATGTCACTTGCTCAGGGTCCAAAAGAGAAAGTGAGATACCACCATTAGGTGCAAAGATACTAACAAGGGGGAAATTAAGAATAACTCTCTGACCAGTTGATCTGTAAGGGACAGCAGGAACATCTGAGTAAACCGAACTACACTTTCCATGATGAAAACCCTTCAGGGGACTTTGACAGTGGCAAATTGGGAGACCCTGGCCGGGATCAGATCTTGGAGATGAGCATGTCCCTGGTAGACCACAGAGCTGCAGGGGTAGGGCTGGGAGCTGGGAGGGGCAGTCGTCCTCCACTGTGTGCAGGTACCACTTCTACCACTCAAAACTTACTTTTAGAAGAAAGAAACTAAGAAGGTACCTTTCCAGAAAGAGTCAGTGCATGCAGCTGATGCATGCCACTGCCGTATGCATGGGCACAGGAGGAGAGCTGAGTATCTCATAAAGGCTGGGCCACTGTTCCAACAATGAACTTTAAAATGAGTTCGGCTTATAAAAGGGAATTTTCATAATCAGGACAAAGATATATTTACATGTAAGTGGTAATAGGGAAAGGAGGAGGTCATACAGGACTGTAAAACTGATATCCACAGTAGAACTTTTTAAAATCGTGGGTAGACCATCAGTGCTCCCGGTGGTGGTTGGCGCCATTGTACTCTATGGGATGCACCTGTATCTCAATGGCTCCTTGCAGCTCTCAACCCCATTTGAGGCCGACTGTGTCAGGCATGATCCCAGGTGCTGGGACACTGAGTAGACAGAGATGAGTGCATCTGTGCTCAATGAGAGATGCCACACGCTGTCATCTTGAGGCTCACTGTCAGAGCCCAGGGCCATTCTTCAGTCAAGCAGGACACATGGGCACATACAGCCACAGGGTATCCCTGTAGATGACTAGCTTTGGTAAAAGCTATGCTTGTTTAAAAATTACATGCCTTGAATTTTCATCCAAAATTTTTTCATTTTAAAAGTTGTATGTAGAAACTCTAGCATGGAATTTGTTAGAGTAATCTTTAATGATAGCATTTCACAATAATAGCAAAAATAGTTTTCAGATTTTGGTGAAAATAATGCAGTTACTAATCAACTAGTATTCTCAACTGTTAATGTGTAATTACCAAAATCAGTTTCACATTATGCTATTAATGTAAGGGAATACATGTTAATAAGAAATTTCATATATACCCTTAAAATAGACACAAACTTAGTTAAGGAAAAATAGCCTAAGAATGTCATTGGCACCTTCATATTTCAAAATTTTTATTTAACATAATCTGCAACCAGGTTGGGTCTTTGCATAAATTTAAAAATCATTTTTAATGCCAGTTCTGAAAAAGTAATGGGTATCATACTCTTATAATGAAAAAACTACCTGTAAAACTTGAAAATATACACAAAACAACTGCTCTCAGGCACTACACAACAGATGACACAAGGCTGTGGTTCTTACCAAAAGGGGACTTTAAAAGTGAGCCCCATATGCACACTGGCATTCCCAGATTTTACAGCTGGCTGTGCCGGGTGGGCACCAAGATGGAAGAGCTGCCAGGGCGAAAAAGACAATGCCCCTGCTATGGGAAGTCGGAGGAGGCCACCATGCTGAGGACACGTACCCTTGTTCTGAGCAGAGGAACCTGTGACAATCCCCATAGCCACAAAAGAAGGAGGGAGGATGGGATGAAAAAAGGGAGGAGGAGAGGGAGGAGGGGAGGGAGGAAGGGAGGGAAGGGAAAAGAAAAAAAAGAGGAACCTATAAGTCTGACCAGAGTCTCTGTGCCCTTTGGGATGCTATCAGAGGTCTAATCTGAGTTTAGTTTGAGTCTGGGAACCAGAGGCAAAAAAAGGTGACAAAATGCAAAGCCAGAATCTTTTCAGATTGAATTAAAAATATCAAAGAAGAAATCCAAGATTTCAGTGAACCCCAAGCAGGATAAATACAAAACCACCACACATGGTTTTATTGTGGTCAAATTTCTGAAAGACAATGAGAAAATCTTGGAAAGAAGTTAGGGTGCATTAGAATCAGAACAGCAAGAATAAGGATTATGCTCATTTCTCATCGGAAACAAAGCAAAGCAGAATACAAAGAACATATTTTAAGTGTTAATAAAAGGAAAAAGTCAATCTAGAATTCTGTAGTCACCAAAATAACCTTTAAAAATGAAGGCAAATCAAGGATTTTAGTGTTAATAAAAGTTAAAAGAATCCATTCCTGGCACATTTGCAGAAGACAAAACTAAAGGAAATTCTTCATGCTGAAAGAATATAATATTAAATGGAAACGGCTCAAAAAGTAATATGCGACACCCAAAATGGTAAATTTTGTAAGTTCTTAAATTCTATAAAAGACAGTTGACTTTAAACAAAAATATTATTGGATTGTGGGATTTATAAAAATGTAGAAGTAATAAGATGAATAGTTGTTGATTCTTTCTGCTAGTTCCCGTGCTACTGAGGTTTTGTTCATAAAGTCTTTTCCTATGCCAATATCTTCAAACATTCTACCTAACTTATCTTCCCAGCAAGTTTAGTGTTTCTGTCTTAATATTTAGATCTTTAATCCACTTAGATTTCAGTTTAGTGCATTGTGATAGATATGGGTCTAGTTTTAATCTCTGACAGGTTGAAAGCCAGTTTTTCCAACACCATTTATTAAATAGGCTCTTTCCTCCAATGAGGGTCGTTGGCTCCTTTGTCAAAGATGAGGTGGCTGAGTATGTCTGAAGTTGTTTTTGCATCTTCTAATCTATTCCACTGATCCTCGGGTCTGTTGCTTTGCCAGTACCATGCTGTTTTTATCACAGTAACTTTGTAGTATAGCTTCAAATTGGGTATTGTGATACCCCCAGCCATGTCTCTGTTGCCCAGAATTGCTTTCGCTATTCTAGGTCTCTTCTGGTTCCAAATGAATTTTTGGATTGTTTTCTCTAGCTCTGTGAAGTATATTGTTGGAATTTCAATCAGCATTGCATTAAATCTATATAGCAGTTTTGGAAGTATGGCCATTTTCACTATATTGATTCTTCCTACCCAGGAACAAGGGATATCTTTCCATTTTCTTATACCCTCCTTGATCTCCTTTTTCAGGGTGCTGTAGTTTTCAGCATAGAGGTCTTTTGCTTCCTTTGTTAGATTGATTCCTAGATATTTCATTTTTTTGGATGCTATTGTAAAAGGAACTGTTTCCCTAATTTCTCTCTCAATGAGTCTGCTATTTGTGTATAAGAAGGCTATTTTTTTTGAGTGTTGACCTTACATCCAGCTACTCTACTGAATCTGTCCATTAAGTCCAGAAGTCTTTTGGTAGAGTTTTTTGGGTCTTCTACGTAAAGTATCATATCATTAGCAAATAATGAGAATTTAACTTCTTCCTTTCCTATCTTTATTCCTTTTATTTCTTTCTCTTTTCTAATTGCTGTGGCTAATGTTTCCAGAACTATATTGAACAGGAGTGGTGATAGTGGGCATCTTTGTCTTGTTCCTGATTTTAGAATGAAAGTTTTCAGTTTTTGACCACTTAGTAAGATGTTGGCTGTTGGTTTTTCACAGATAGCCTGAATCAGATTGAGATAAAGACTTTCTATTCCAATTTTCTGTAGAGTTTTTATCATGAATGGGTGTTGGATTTTGTTGAATGCCTTTTCTGAATCTTTTGAGAGAAACCACCAACAGAGCTAACAGACAACCTACAATGTGGGAAAAAATTTTTAGCAGCTGTAACTCAGACAAAGGGCTACTATCAAGAATATATAAAGAACTGAAAAAAATCAGACCTCCCAAATTCAAAGACCCATTTCAAAAATGGGCATCTGAAATGAACAGACATTTCTCAGACAAAGAAGTAAAAGCAGCAAATAAACACATGAAAAAATGTTCAACATCACTGGTCATTTGAGAGATGCAGATGAAAACAACACTGAGATTGCACCTCATCCCAGAAAGAATGGCTGCTATCAAGAAATCAACCAATAACAAAAGCTGGTAGGGGTGTGGAGAGAAAGGAACCCTTCTCCATTGTTGCTGGGAGTGCAGACTGGTGCAACCACTGTGGAAATCAGTATGGAGATACCTCAAAGAACTAGGACTAGAGGTTCCATTTGACCTGCTGGGTATCTTCCCAAAAGAATTAAAAGAATCATACCACAGAGATACATGTGCACCCATGTTTATGGCACAGTTTGTAATAGCTAAAGTTTGGAAACAGCCCAAGTACCCATCAACTGGAAACTGGATAAAGAAGATGTGGGGTTTTTTTTATAAAATGGAGTACTACTCAGCCATAAGAACAAGAAACTAGAGTCATTTACAGCTAAATGGATGCATATTGAGGCCATACTCTTAAGTGAAATAAATAAGACACACATGTGTAAATACCAAATAGTTTCTCTAATGTGAGAAACTGAGATTGTAAATAAAGACTAAAAGAACTAATAACTAATACATGATACTTTGAAATAGGAAAAGGTCCAAAGTTGTAGGGGTGGTGGGAAGAGAAGGGGAAAGGAAAGAATGGAAAGGAAAAATTATGAGAAAAGAAAAACAAATGGAAACGAAGTATGTAAATAGGGAAGGGTTTAGGGATGAAGGTCACACAGGTAATGGGGAAAAAATAAGAACCAAGATACATTATGTACAGGTACAAGAACCCAAAGATAAATGTAAATGTATTCTATACTTAAAATGTACCAATAAAAGAATTTAAGAAAAAAATGTAGAAGTAAAATGAATGAACACAATAAGACAAAGGATAGGAACGAGACCACAGAAGTGGAAAGGTAAGGGCTGATACACTGTATGTGAAACAATATTGTATTAATTTAAGGCAGAACTTTGGTTAAGGATGTATGTTGCAGTTCCTACAGCAAGTACTGAAACTAAGACCAAACAAGAGTTATAACTAAAAATGTAATAAAGGAGATGGATAAGGACACTAAAAATATAGTTAATTTAGAAGAGGAGAGGAAAGGAATGAAAGCAGTTAAGACAAAAGGAAAGCAGGCAATGCAATGGCAGCTTTAGTTCCATTAACCATAAACCAAACACCTCCAGTCAGGGTGCAGTCATCCCACAGGTATGGAAGCCAGGACTCAACTATGAGCTCTGGGCACTCAGAGCTCTTCCAAAACAGACACAAGTTAGCAGTGCAAGCATGGTGAGGTTAGGGATCATGCAAGCACCCAGCACAAGGGGTGTGTCTCTGTCAGACTGTCCCTCAGGATACCAGAGAGACATTTCCTAATGATAAGATTTAAAAGTGCTAAATGTGTGTTTGCTTAATAGCAGAGCTTCCAGATACAAGCAGCAAAATAATGAGTACATACACAGTGACAGCCATAGATTAACAATCCTCTCGGTAGCTGGTAGAACAAAGCAGAAAAACAAATCTGTAAAAACATAAAGTTAAGAAACTCTGTCAACAGAGCTAACTTCCATGACATTGGTAAGACACCCTACCTGACAGCTACATAATAAAGATAAAAATTCCCAGGACGTGGATACCAAGGCAAGGATACCGAGCCTCCCTCACAACCATTTCACAGGGTGGTTTCAGCTTCCTTACAGCCATCATACAGCCTGTTCTCCTTCAAACCACAGACTCTTACTGCGAGGTAGGTCCTAGTATGCCAACGGTCAGCACCTTCTTTCTCTGGCTCCTTCAGGCAGAGTGCAGAAGAGGCTATCCATTCCTGCAAGAGGGGCTTCCAGGATCCTGGCCCCTGAAGGAAATCCCCACAGACAAACATATTTCCAGGGAGTAAATTCGGTGTCCATTTGATTGAGTTGCAAGGACACGGCCCCTGTGGTACTCGAAGGGGAGGGGATCACCTCTTAGTAAAAGTGGTTTGTATGTGCCATGCCAGAGCTGCACTGGATCAGGAAACACAGGGAGAGCATCAGAAAGTTGTGACACGTATCTGAAGTACACCACAGCTGTGTGTAACTACCTGGGCTCTAGGTGTAGTGTAGTCTATCAGCGGCACAATTTTTTGGGCCTAGGAAACAGAGCCTGACTGCAAAAGACCCCAAAAATGGCTGGTTCTATTAGTCCTTTGCTACACAACATCCTACCCCAAAATTAGTTGTTAAAACACACAGTTGAAGATTCTTTCTCACAGTGTTGTGAGTTTACTGGATTCAAACAGTTTATTCTGGGTTGAGGTCTCTCATAAGGTCACTATCACAGGGACCCCTGCCAGGAATTCCACCCCCCCAGCTCACTCCCATATCCTAAGGTCTCTCTCCTACATCCAAGTGTCCCTAGAATGATTCTCCAACAGGTGTGGGCACCAGCCTTGCCACATGGCCTCATTGAGCATGGTAGTTCTGTCACTACAGGCAAGGTAACAAGGCCTCAGAAGGCCACAGTCACTTGCTTTGCTTCAGTTGGGCAAGTCTCTTGGGCTGGCCCAGGCTCAAGGAAGGTGGGGGTACTATGCCCAAGATGGGGTCTCCTCCATCTGGGGATACCACCTCAAAGGGCCACAGGTGAGGTGACAGCATTCTCAGGGAGGGAGACCCAGCGTATGTCACAGCCAGGCCTATCTGCGAACCCCTCTGTTCTCCAGGGTGAAGACCCAGCTTGTGGCAGAAATGCTGTGCACTGCCTCGTGCATCCAGGGCTGGAGCATCATGGAGAACCTGAAGGGCAGGAAGCAGCTGCGTCTGGCAGCGGCCAAGGCTTTTTTGGAGAGTGCCAGGTGTGCTGCAAGCAAGGGCTCAGACACTGGTTGGCAACTGCAATGCACGGTGACACTGGGGACATCACTGAGAGCCAAGGGAGGAACTGGGTGGTGTGGAAAGTCCCCTGCCCTCATCCTGCAGTGTGGCCCAGTGCTCAGAGTTGAGGACAGCTGTGGGCAGTCCTGTGAGAAGCTCAGGGCACTGGAACAGGAGGGCTCAAAGGAGGGTCCTGAAGCAGCCAGGGGCCTCAGCAGTGTCAGCAAGGGAGCAGGTAAACAACATGAGACCAGGCCAGGCCTCTTCTTTGTGGAGAGGTGGCTGGCAAGCCCCCACCACTGCTCTACAGCATGGGCAAGACCTGGCCCAGCAGGAGGAGAAGGCCTTGCTGGAGAAGGGTGCAGCAGACCCACCCACAGCCCCTGTCCTACAGGACAGCCCAGGGCACCCTTGCCACTCCAGCCTCATCCCTTCCCTCCTAAGTCCAGAAGCCACCCATGGGAAAGGTGTGGCCAAGGATCCTGAGCCACCTGTGTGAGTGTCCCTGTGGATGGAACATCATTTCAGGTTTGGAGGCATCGCAGGTAGCAGTGCACTGGTGATGCTGGCCACAAGGCACTACTGGAACACCTGGCTTCCGCTCCTGTCCTCAGCAGTCAATAGGAAGAAGGCCAAGGGGGCTGTTCAGAAGATCATCAAGATTATCAATAAGACAGAGGCCACAAAGGAGGTATTTTGGGGGTGCAGGCAAGTCTCCAAAGGGCCTTCCAGCAGGCTGGGCAGACACCCAAGGTCAGATGCCACACGGCACTGTTACCACAGGGCACAGCATTGCCTGCTGGATGCTGGTGATGTCCTCAAGATCCCACTGGGATGGGGTGCTCATTGCTGACCTTAGTGTCGACCTCAGACTTCCCCTCTGGTTCTGAAGTCTCCTCCCTCTCCTTTTTTACCAACTTCTAAACAACAGATTTTCTCTATTGTTTTTCTCTTCTTTATTTTGTTTATCTCTGCTCTGATTTTTATTCCCTTCCTTCTGCTGGTTTTGGAATTAGTTCTTTTTCTGGCATCTTGAGAATTAAAGTTAGATTGTGATTTGAGGCCTTCTTTCCTGTTATCAACAGCATTCACAGCTGTAAACTTGAATCTGAGCACTGCTTTTGCGGCCTTCCCTAAGTTTTTTCTATTGTGTTTCTGATCCCTTTGATGTGAAACCTAAAGCTGACTTAGATATTTCATGTCATTGGAAAACTGTGTGAAGTGTATGTGGTTGTGTGTGTGTGTGTGGGTAGTGTGTGGTGTGGTGTGTATGTGATGCAGTGTGTGGTGTGTTGGGTGTGGTTTGGTTTGGTGTGTACCTAACCTTGCACTGAGGACCCTTTTCTTATGGGTGAAATATGATTTAACTTTTTGTGACTCAGTACTTCTAAGTTTCATTGCAATTCCTGTAACTTATTACAGACAAATGAAAAGCAAAATGGTGGAAAACACTTTGCAGCCTCCAGTATGTGTGTTTGTTTTCCTCCAGGAGAAAGGGAAGACACTGCTTCTGCACCAATGGCCCACGTCAGACTTGCAGAGTGGGATGGCAACTGAAGGCCATTTCCTTCCAGGTCAGCAGGAACAAAGCTATGAGCTCCAGGATGAGGGGAGAGAGGACTTTGCACAAGTTGAGTCTTCTGTGATTTCACATTGTGTGCCCTTGTAGGAAGCCTTCACCACCAGCCATGCCCACCATAGGCCCATCTGTCTGCATTTGATGTTTTTCATGAGGCCCACATGACAGTTCATTAGGCACAGGACGCAAAGCCCAGGGCCTCCTTGAGCAGCCAGCCCTGACCTTCCCAAATCCAGCTCTTGGAACTGCTTCTGGTTGATACGGTCAGAGCTGTATAGGAAAACCTGTGATGAGCCTGAGAAACTGGGGGCCTGGTACTAAAAGTTGGGTTCTCCATGCTTCAGGCCACCATGGTCCTGGTGCTAACAGGTACCAAGTTAAACTTGAGGGCCAATCACCTCACAGCCAATGTCCCACTGAGCAACTCCTGTCACTTACCTCCTTGCCTCCAGCAGCATAGAGCCTCCTTGTGCACCATGAAAACAGGATGAGTACATCAAGTTATCTGTGGTCTCAGATCTAGAAAGTGGCACATGTGAGGTGGTGCTGGCAGCCTCCATGCTCTGGGAAAACACACGCATGAACCACACAATGACTGAGTGTCTCGTGTGCTAACCTTTCATACTCCCAGATGTCATGCTGCTTCTGCTAACACCGATGGGGAGCAGGAAGCAGAGACCAGCCAGGAAACTCAAGGAGCTGCTTCCCTCAGACCTAGGCTCCCTGGGGCCAGTGGTAGGTGACAGGCAGGGGACATACGGTCCACCCCTCGCATCAGCCCTACAGGGCAAGCTGGTATGTAGGCCCTACCTTGCACTGAAGGTGTAAGGCTCCAAATCAGGAGGACTGTGATACAGTGGGGCCCTGGGAGGTCAGAGGTCAGAGGGCATCGTTAGCAAGGAGTCTGGCAGCCCAGCTGTTTCTAAGGCTCTCTTCCTTGTCCCAGAAACTGAGGATGACCTTACACTTCGTGCCGCACTCTATGGGCTGCTCTTCCATAGCCACGCTGACCAGGAGGACTGGATGGGTGGCCTCAAGGTGCTGGACGAAGCTGTGCAGGTGCTGCCTCGGACTGCTCACCGCCTGTGAGTGCCTGCCCTCTCCACCCACCCCAGTGCTCCCTTGCACTGCCCCTCCTGAGCTCCCCAACTTTCCCATTCCATTGAAGGACCTCATCTCTCCAGTAGAAATTTGACAAGGACAAGGAACACATACCACAAAAACCCCAGCTCAATTTCCATCTGGTTTTATCCCTGTATGCAGAAACATGGACAAATTGAGTTTTGGATGCTTTATGTATGCTTAGTTGTTTTTTTTTTTAAACAGGATCTCACTATGTAGTTCAGGCTGGCCTCAAACTCACAGCGATTCTCCTGCCATAGCTTCTCATGTGCTGGAATTACAGGCCTGCACTACCGTACCTGGCTGAATGCTTAGAATTTTATCATTCAACTGAAGCATTGACTTCTTTCTTTGGCTCTTCTTTAGTTTGATTTTCAAACATATGGTCATTGTGAAGGCTAGACTTGGCCAGAACTTTACCATGGAAATCGAAAAGTTCAAGGATGAAAGTGAAGACTATTTGGCACACATGTGGCACCGCCTGGCCCTGAACTCGAAGAATATCTGTGGAGAGCTGACGTGTTATCACAACGCAATCCAAGCATTGCAGGTCTGGGTCTTCTCAAAGTTGGGTGATTGTGAATAAAACTCATATCCTAATTACAGAGATCACCATGTGATGGGAGGCTTGTGGATTCGGGATTTGCTGGGCGAGCACTTAAGGGAGCCACTGCTGAGGGAGCCCCAGGGCAGGCTGGTGGCCTTCCTTTGATGAGAGTCAGGGACTGTGGGCTGACCTGACCCACAGTCACCCTTTCCAGTGTGGAAAAGGGGCTGACCAGGGACAGGGTAGGGTGGGCAAGCCTTCTTCCTGGGAGGCTGGAGATGCTGAGGGGACAGAGCTCTGAAAGCCACACTATTGACTTGGGGATCTTGGGGACATTTGCTCCCTCGCCAAGAGATGCCGATGACATTCTACTCAGTGTGGTTGGGGTTGGTGGGGAAGGTGGGTCTCAGGAGCAAGGCCTGGAGGACTCACATGAGGACTCAGTAGTAGGAACTAAAGGTGTCCTGGGCCTCTGAGCTGAAAGACCTGAACCATAAGTCAATACTTTGAAAGGTTTTTCTATTTTCCAGATGTTTCCAGGACCCTGAGCACATCCTATGCTGAGCCCTGGGCTGCAGCGGGGTCCAGGCAGCCCTGGGTGAGCGATGTGGGGGTAGAGGCTGCCCAGGTGCAAATGGCTCTGCCATTTGCTGTGATGGCCCATCTTGGCACAGAGAGGGTGCCACAGGCTTGGGCACTGCTGTGAATGGAAACACAGCACTGGCTTTCCTTGCGGTTTCCCTGCTGGTCTTCAGGGATCAGAGGTCAGGTGATGACCAATCTCCCACGGGAGCAGAAGGCCAGCCCCTGAGAAGGGCAACAGAGCCCAGTATGCAGGGCTCCCTTCTTGAGGGAGTCTGTCCTCGCTGACCTTGAGGCCTATCTTTCCATTATTGGGGTGGGCGTTGTACAATGAGTTTTAGTAGATTCTCAGAGGTAGACAACCATCAGCACAATCAATTTTAGGTCTTTTTGTCACACCTATCCCAAATTAGTGTCCATTAGCACTCACTCCCCACCCCGTCTCTGTTGTCACCTGTTCCTGACCTTTCACTCAGATGGAATCAAATACTTGGTGGCCTTTGGGTCTGGCTTCTTTTCCTGAGCACTGTGTTGTCAAGTTTCATTCTCACTGTAGCTTATGTCTGGCCTACCTTACTTTTCATGTCCAAATAATACTCCATTAATGTATATACACTTTGAATATCCATTAGTCCATTGATAGTATTCAGGTTGTTTTCCATCGTTTTCCTCTTGTTAATAGGGATGCTACAAACTTGTATGCATACATTTTTGCATGGCCCTGTGTTCTTCTTTCCTGAGGGTGTGTACCTAGAAGTGGAATTGTTGGCCACATGTAATAGTGTCTAATCACTTGAGGTGTTGCACACAATGTCCCCAGTGGCTGCACCCCAGTAGGATTCCCCCACATCGTGACCGGCTCAGGATGTTGCCTGAACTAAGCTATCCTGGAGGGTATGGAATGGCATCTCATTGTGTTTTGATTTGCATTTTCCTAATAACTAATGATATCAAGCACATTTTCAAGGATAAATCAGCTCTTTGTGTGTCTTCTTTGGAGAAATATCTATTCAGCTCCTTTGTTCATTAAAAAAATTATTAGGGGCCAGGGATTTAACTCAGTGGTTCCACCACCTGCCCCACAAGCGCAAGAACCTGAGTTTGATCCCTCGTACAAAAAAAAAAAATAGTAGTACATATTTGCCATATATATAATGATCACATTCATCATAAGAAATTTGTACTCATACACAATATTTGTTAATTTTTCTTTTTTTCCCATTTCCCTTCTTCCTTTCAACCCTTCTTCCCATCTCCTTTTACAAAACTTTGTTTCCATTTTTTCCCTTCCATTCTCTTTTGTAATCCCTTTTTTCCTTTCTTCCCTTCCCCCCCTCCCTTGTTCCCCTTCTCATTTGAACATGTTCTTCCTATTTCCCAATATCTATCTTCTGTTTTGCTCCTTATTTACCCTTTGGGTTTCTCATACAAAAGAAACAATGTGATGTTTAAACTTTGTCTGATTTTTTTCACTTAACATTATGGTCTCGAGGTGCATCCATTAATCTAAAAATGACTCAAGTTTATCCTTCTTTATGGCAAGGTACTACTCCATTGTACATAAATACCACATTTTCTTTATTCATTCATCTGTTAATGGGCATGTGGGTGGTTTCCAAGATTTAGCTATTATAAATTGTGCTGCTATGAGCATAGGTATGTATATATCGCTTTGGTATGATGCTTTAAGCTCTTTTGGGAAGATACCTAGAAGGGACATAGTGGGGTCAAATGGAACCACTAGTTTTAATTTGTTGGGGAATCTCCATATTGACATTCATAGAAGTTGTACCAATTTACACTGCCACCAACAGTAGAGAAGGGTTCCTTTTTCTCCACAGTCATGTCAGAATTTGTTATTGTTTGATTTCTTGATGATAGCCATTCTTTCTGAAGTGAGATGGAATCTCAGAGTTTTTTTAATTTGCATTTCTCAAATGACCAGTGATGTTAAACTTTTTTTTTTTTTTTTTTTGGTACCAGGGATCAAACTTGGGACATTGTGCCTGTGAGGCAGGCAGCAGAACCACTGAGCAAAACCCCAGCTCCTTTGTTAAACATTTTTTCATATATTTGTTTGCTGTTTGTACTTCTTCATCTGAGAAGTGTCTATTTCAGATGCCCGTTTTTGGATTGGGTCTTTAAATTTGGGGGACTGATTTTTTTAAAGTACTTTGTACATTTTAGATATTAGTCCTTTGTTTGAGGAGCAGCTGGTAAAAGTTTTTTTCCCATTTTGTGGGTTGTCTCTTCACTCTGTTGGTGTTTGTTGTGCTGTGCAAAAGCCTTTAAATTTGATGTGATCCTAGTTGTTGATTCTTTGTAGTACTTCTTGTGTGATCAGGGCTTTGTCTTTGGAAGTTTTACCTATTCTATCTTCCAGTACATTGTTTCTGTTTTAATATTTAGATCTTTGATCCATTTCAGTATTAGTTTAGTGCAAATGAGAGATAGGGGTCTAGATTCAGTCTTCACCATATGGAAAACCAGTTTTCCCAGCATCATTTATTTAAGAGGCTCTCTTTCTTCCAGTGAAGGTGTTTGGCTCCTTTGTCAAAGATAAGGTAGCAGGGTATGCTTGAAGTTGTTTCTGAATCTTCTATTCTGTTCCACTGATCCTTGAGTCTGTTTCTTTGCCAGTACCATGCTGTTTTTATCATGGTAGCTTTGTGTTAAAACTTCAAATTGGGGATTGTGATACCCCCTGGCTCACCCTTGCTGCCTGGAATTGTTATTCTAGGTTTCTACTGGTTCCATAAGAATTTTAGAGTAGTTTTCCTCATTCTGTCAGGTATGTTGTTGGTGTTTTGATTGGGATTGCATTATATCTGTATAACTGTTTTGGGAGTATGGTCACTTTATATTGGTCCTGCTTATGCAAGAGTAGGTGATATCTTTCCATTTTCTGATATCCTCTTCTATCTCCTTTTTCAGAGTATTGTAGTTTTCATGTATAGGTCTTTCACTGCCTTCATTAGATTGATTCTGAAGTATTCCATTTTTCTTGATGCTATTGTGAAAGGTGTTGTTTCTCTGATTTCTCTGTCAGTGAGTTTGTTATTCCTGTACAAGAAGGCTATTGATTTTTGAGTGTTGACTTTGTATCCTGCTGTGTTACTGAATTTGGTTAATTCTAGGCATCTTTTGGTGGAGTTTTCGGGGTCTTCTGTGTAGAGCATTATGTCATCCACAAATAATGATAATTTAACTTCTTCCTTTCCTATCCATATTCATTTTATTTCTTTCTCTTTTCTAATTGTTCTGGCTAATGTTTCCAGAACTATATTGAACAGGAGCAGTGATAGTGACTATCCTTGTCTTATTCCTGATTTTAGAGTGAAAGCTCTCTGATGATTTAGTATGATATTGGATGTTTGTTTCTCATAGATGGCTTTTATCATATTGAGAGAAAGACCATCTATTCCAATTTTCTGTAGAGTTTTTATCATGAATGGGTGTTGGACTTTGTTATATGTTTTTCTGCATTTATTGAGATGATCATGTGGTTTTTGTCCTTGGCTCTGTTAATGTGGTGTATCATGTTTACTGATTGACATATGTTGAACCATCCCTGCATTCCTGGGATGAAATCTACTTGGTCATCATGTATAATCTTCTTGATTTGCTTCATTCTGTTTGCCAGTATCTTATTGAGGATTTCTGTGTCTTGCTCATTAAGGAGTTTGGCCCGTAGTTCTTTTTTGGTTAGATCCTTCTCTGGTTTTGATATCAGGGTAATGCTTGCTTCCAGGAATGACTTTGGGAATATTGCTTCCCTTTCAGTTTCATTAATGAGTTTGAGTTGTGGCATTAGATCTTCTTTAAAGTTCCTGTAGAATTCAGCAGTGAATCCGTCAGGACCTGGGCTTTTCTTTGTTGGTAGGTTTTTAATAACATCTTCAATTGCATTGACTGACATTGGGATATTTAGAATCCTTATATCTTCTTGATTCAGCTTTGGTAATTCCTATGTACTTAGGAATCTGTCCATTTCTTCTGTGTTTTCCATCTTATTAGAGTACAGATTCTTCAAGTAGATGTTAATGATCTGGATTTCTGTAGGATTTGTTATGATTTCAACTTTTTCCACTCCTAATTTGGTGGATTTGAGTTTTTTCTTTCCTTTTGTTTTTCATAAGGTTGGCTAAGGATTGGTCAATTTTATTTTATCTTTCAAAGAACCAACTCTTCAATTCATTGATTCTTTGTATTGTTTTTTTAGTCTCAATTGCATTAATTTCTGCTCTAATCTTTATAATTTTCTTCCTTGTATGACCTTTGGGTTTACTCACTTAACAGTTAACCCCTACCATCACTCAGGTAATGCATTTGTTTATGTACTGACTATCCTAAGCATCATTCGGGCACATGTCATTTCAACCAATAGATTCTTGCACTGAATAAATTTGATAAAATTGTCA